TTTTTTTTTTTTTTTTTTTTTTTTTTTTTTTATCATTATTATTATTCTTATTTATTTTATTTGACCACCCTCACGACTCGGATGATGTTGACCTGATTAACGATTTTACGGGCAGTTCCGGAGTTACGTGAGGATATTCGCTCGCTCCTTTCTATCTTTCCTTTGTTGCCATTGATGCCATGTCTTTTTCCAAATATACCAATTGTTCTATGTGCGGGTTGGGATTCTTTGATGATCCCTGAGTGGAGGAGTGCTTCCCATTGATTACCTCGACTTTGTTGATTTGATTCCATCTTCATTTCTTGTTTACATTTTCGGTTTCTTCAGCTTGGACAGGGCTAGGTAACCGACCTCTGGATGGGACTGGCTGCTCTCATATTGCTTGTATTCTGCTTATTTCGAAGATTCCCCATTTTCTTTGATTTCTTTTCTCTCTATCTGTGTCCCTATGTTTCTCGACCGAGATTTCCCTTTTCTTTTCTCTTGTATTTTTCCTACCATCAGCGAACAGCCTTGTGATCAAGCGGGCTTGAGAACAGGATAATGTCTGTTATTTAGAACTCTTGCATGAAAGCATTTGGTGAACGCCGCCACGATAGATATGAAATCTCTTTTGCTTATGAATAGCTCTTGTACTCGTAGCCTGAGGTTACTCTCTACTTAACGCCTGGTTATTGAGGTGTCAATTGCCACCAGCCGCGGTCTTGGCGCGGAGCTTCGCCAGTCTCAAAACACTTCAACACTTCCTCTCCCATTCGCAGCGCAGCCAGGGCAGTTCCTTTTCTTTTTCTATACCTTTTTCCTCGACAGAATACTGGCTCTGTATTTCTGTTCTTGCTGGACCATCTCGATCACCTGAAACGAGGGCATTGGTGCTATCCCGAGAGCTATTTGACCGCTGATCAGAAATACGCCGCAAGCCTCATTCGCGTTCTGGCTGCGATCTAGCTTTCTTCTGTGGTTTCACGACTATCACTGATATTTACTGTACCGAATAGTTTCATTATATGAATTGACGCCGAACTTTCCGTAACATCCATCACATACACATCCCGATCCCATCCCGACCTCCCTAAGCAATCAACCAAAATGGACCACAGAACCTTCGTCTCAGACACCCTCCTCCGCCTAACCGGCGCCTCAGAACCCACAATCATCGACTTCGTACTCGCGACAGCATCCTCCGCCAAATCCGCCCCTTCACTACAGGACAAACTCGTCCCGTTCCTCGACGGCAGTCCCGACGACGTCGGCGCATTTTGTCACGAGTTGTTTGCGCGGACGAATACTTCTACGAAGAGTGCAGCGGCACCAGAACCAGCGGCGAAGGAAAAGGATGTATCGTCGAAGAAGTACAGGCTTGTGGATATGGGTGAGGATATGGCCGATCCGGGGTCATTGGGGCCGGTGAATGTTGAAGCGGACCGGGAGAAAGAGAGACGGAGAAGGAGGGAGAAAGAGGGTCGGAGTCGAGGGAAGGAGGATATGGATGAAGGACGGAGCGGGAGCAGATTGGAGAAGGATGAGAGTCGGAAACGAGAGCGCAGTGGGGGGGACGGGCGGGATCGCCGGTCCAAGAAACTGCGCAGACGGGATGTGGATGATTTCGAGGGTCGTTGGGGCGATGAGGAGATCCCCGAGGAAGAGCTGTATGAGGAGGAGGCTGAGGAATTCGAGGAGTCGCCTGCGAAGCGTACACGGTTGGAGGATGGGTCTGCGTCGCCTCAGTCGAATGCGCCTGCGGATTTGGACACCCAGGCGAAGCAAGAGGTGCAGCGGCAGCGAGATTTGCAGGAGCGGGATGAGTTTGCGAAACGTCTGGCTAGCAAGGATGATAGTAAATCAAAGAAGATCGTTGAGGATCGGACGAGGTCTGGTGAAGCGGCGCGTCGACGGGCGTTGGCTGATGATGCTTCTTCGAGGGCGTCTGCGATGCCGGAACTGAGAATGCGTTCGCGACAGGAGTACTTGAAGAAGCGAGAGACTGAACGGCTGGCGCTGCTGCGGAGACAGGTTGTGGAGGAGACACAAGAACTACGAGAGAACCCGAGCCTGACGCGCAAGGAGAAGGAAGAATTCGCCAGAAACCGCGAAGTGCTCCAGATCGCCGAGGAACGATTACGAATTGACGACTACCGCGATGGCTACATGATGCCAGAAGACTACATTACGGAGAAGGGCAAGATCGACCGCAAGAAGAAGGAAGACGCACTGTACAAACGGTACGTTGATCGCGATGAAATGGGCCACGAACGGTTCATTACGGAGCATGAGGAGTGGGAGATGGAGCAGACGGCCAAGGCCAAGGCGCAGATCAAGAAACCAGAATTTGTCGACGAGGGAAACTACGAATACGTCTTTGATGATACCCAGCAGATCAACTTCGTCACAGACACTAAGCTCGAGGGCACCCAGAAGCCCATGACAGGCGAGGAGCGCATGTTCCAGGAGAAGCTCAACGCTGCGGAGCAGAAAGCGGCGTCGATCGAGGAGACCCGGAAAAGTCTCCCTATCTACCAGTTCCGAGATCAGATTATCCAGGCTGTTCAGGAGCATCAAGTCCTTATTATCGTTGGTGAAACCGGTTCCGGGAAGACGACCCAGATCCCGCAGTATCTGCACGAGGCAGGGTATACGCAGAACGGGATGAAGATTGGTTGCACGCAGCCCCGGCGAGTGGCTGCGATGAGTGTTGCATCGCGTGTGGCGGAGGAAATGGGCGTGAAAATAGGTAACGAGGTTGGCTATGCTATCCGGTTCGAGGATAACACCAGCGACAAGACGACCCTCAAGTACATGACGGATGGTATGCTCTTACGAGAGCTGCTGACAGAGCCGGACCTTGGTCAGTATTCCGCGCTGATGATTGACGAGGCGCACGAGCGGACGGTCCCGACGGACATTGCCTGTGGTCTTCTGAAGGATATTGCGAAAGCGCGACCTGACTTGAGACTTCTCATCTCTTCTGCGACAATGGATGCGCAAAAGTTCCAGAAATACTTCGACGATGCGCCCATCTTCAACATCCCCGGACGACGGTATCCCGTCGACATTCACTACACGTCGCAACCAGAAGCGAACTTCTTGGCTGCGGCTATCACGACGGTGTTCCAGATCCACGTCACGCAGGGGCCTGGTGATGTTCTGGTGTTCCTGACGGGCCAAGAAGAAATCGAGGCAGCCGAGCAGAGTTTATCAGAAACGGCGCGAAAACTAGGGAGTAAAATACCTGAAATGATCATCTGCCCGATTTATGCAAATCTGCCGTCCGAGCTGCAGACAAAGATCTTCGAGCCGACTCCGCCGGGGGCGCGGAAGGTCGTGTTGGCCACGAACATTGCGGAAACGAGTTTGACGATTGACGGTATTGTTTATGTCATCGATCCGGGTTTCGTGAAGGAGAATGTGTTCAACCCTCGAACGGGTATGGAGAGTCTGGTGGTGGCGCCGTGCTCACGGGCATCTGCCAACCAGAGAGCTGGTCGTGCTGGTCGTGTTGGACCAGGCAAATGCTTCCGCTTGTATACCAAGTGGGCGTACCATAACGAACTGGAAGAGAGCACAACACCTGAAATCCAGCGGACGAATCTGACCAGCGTGATTCTGATGCTCAAGTCGCTCGGTATCGACCAGCTGCTAGACTTCGATTTCATGGACCCTCCACCAGCAGAGACAATCATCCGCGCACTGGAACAGCTCTACGCACTGGGCTCCCTGAACGACCGCGGTGAATTGACAAAGATTGGACGCCAAATGGCCGAATTTCCCACCGACCCAATGCTTGCCAAAGCAATCCTCGCCGCAGACCAATATGGCTGCGTCGAAGAAGTCCTCTCCATCGTCTCAATGCTTGGCGAAGGCAGCGCGCTCTTCTTCCGTCCCAAGGACAAGAAAATCCACGCCGACAGCGCGCGCAACCGCTTCACTATCAAGGATGGCGGCGACCACCTCACCCTTCTCAACGTGTGGAACCAATGGGTCGACAGCGATTTCAGCTACGTCTGGGCGCGCGAAAACTTTTTGCAACAACGCTCCCTCACCCGCGCGCGCGACGTGCGCGACCAACTCGCCAAACTATGCGACCGTGTCGAAGTCAATGTCAGCACCTGCGGAGCGTCCAACATTATGCCCATCCAGAAAGCCATTACATCTGGGTTCTTCCCGAACGCGGCAAGATTGCAGCGTGGAGGTGATAGCTACCGGACTGTCAAGAACGGACAGACTGTGTATCTGCATCCTAGTAGTACGCTGTTCGAGGTGAACCCGAGATGGGTTATTTACTTTGAACTGGTCTTGACGAGTAAGGAGTACATGAGGAGTAATATGCCGTTGCAGTCAGAGTGGCTGGTAGAGGTTGCGCCGCATTATTACAAAAAGAAAGATTTGGAGACACTCGGGGTTGAAAAGAAAGTTCCTAAAGGGCAGGGAGCAGCTGGAGAGAAGAGTCGCATGTAATTATATCCATAGCGTAAATTTAATAGAGTGCATGTCAGTCATCGGAATGCAAAGAATCAAGATTAGGTTATCTCGTTATCTCGTGCTTGATTGCGATCATCTGTCAATCCGTCGCTCTCGTTGCTGGGTGGCCCAGCCTCATTGTTTTTACTGCCTCAACATTTCCTATTCGGTCATTTCTTTGTTGTGTGTTCTCCTGAGTTTTTCTTTTTTTCTTTTCTTCTCTCGTTGCTCTGATTTCTTATTCTTACTCTCATTCTACCATTTTCCACTCTCCACTTCTGTTTTGTTGCCTTGCATTGGTTCCTGACGCTACGTTGTCCCGTCGACGGCTTCTCGCATCGCATCGCATCGCATCCATCGTATCCTCAGACAGTGTCGCATACTCACATCCGATCCTCAATCCGATCCGTTTGTTTTTGTTTTCATGTTATCGCCGATTGACTTCCTCCGTTCAATATCCTATTGACATTGACCGAGCTACTCCAAGACGGAGGACGGCTTGCCGACCGCAAGTGTCGTTCCTCTGCTCACTCTCACTGCTGGACAGTGAACATCAAAGAATAGCAAGGCCCCGAGACCAACATGGATCCCTCAATCCTCCCCCGAGACGACTCCTCCGGCCGCCCACCCACCTACAAAGCAATCGGCATCTCCCTCGCCATCGCATCAGGCCTCTTCATCGGCGTTTCCTTCGTGATCAAGAAAATCGGACTTCTAAAAGCGAACGCGAAATACAACGAAGAAGCAGGCGAGGGATATGGCTATCTACGCAATTTCTGGTGGTGGACTGGGATGACGTTGATGATTGTTGGGGAGATATGCAATTTTGTTGCGTATGCGTTTGTTGACGCTATACTTGTTACGCCGTTGGGTGCGCTTGCGGTTGTGGTGACTACGATATTGTCTGCGATATTCTTGAAGGAGAGGTTGAGTTTTGTTGGGAAGGTGGGTTGTTTCTCGTGTATTGTGGGTTCGGTGGTGATTGCGATGAATGCGCCGGAGCAGTCGTCTGTTAGTGATATTCAGGATATGAAGAAATATGTGATCACGCCTGGGTTTCTGTCCTATGCGGGTGTGATTGTCCTTGGCTGTGCATTTACAGCATTCTGGGCTGGTCCACGGTGGGGGAAGAAGAATATGTTTGTGTATATCAGCATTTGCAGTCTGATCGGGGGGTTGAGTGTGGTTGCGACGCAGGGACTGGGGTCTGCGATTCTGGCGCAGATCAATGGCAAGTCGCAGTTCAAGGAGTGGTTTTTATATGTGTTGCTGGTGTTTGTCATTGCGACGTTGCTGACTGAAATCATCTACCTGAATGTATGTTGCACAACCCAGCTGAACTTCGGCTTCTGTGACAGGCAAGCTGACAATCTGACAGAAAGCATTGAACATCTTCAACGCCGCCCTTGTCACCCCGACTTACTACGTCTTTTTTACTACCTGCACAATTGCTACCTCCGCCGTCCTTTTCCAGGGCTTCCAAGGCACCGGCAAAGAAATTGCAACAGTCGTCATGGGTTTTCTGCAGATATGCGCGGGTGTCGTCCTCCTGCAACTATCGAAATCGGCCAAGGACGTTCCAGACGCGGCTGTCTTCAAGGGCGATCTCGATCAGGTGCGTGAAGTAGCCACACAGGAGGAGAGTGAGACGGAGCCCAAGGCCGATTCGATTCGCGGCGCTGCTGCTATTGTACGACAGTTGTCTAGTACAAGACGGAAAGGGGAGGAAGAGGAACTCAGGCGGTATCTCAGAGAGAGAAATGAAGATCTCAAGCCTCTGGGAGAGAATGAGACTGTTGAATGGGATGGCCTGAGACGGAGGAAAACTGTCCTGGGTGACGCGAGGTCACATACGCCAGGCTCAGCTAAGAACTCGCTCCCGCCGTTAGGAATGTCATACATTCCAGAAGAAGAACAGGGCCAAGACGCAGACAGACCTAACCGCAGCTTCATCGACGGAATCCGATCACGAGCATCCAGTCTTCTCCATCCCCAATGGCGTCCGATCAACGATAACAACGGAACAATGCCACCAGATACCACCGACTTCGCCTACACACGCAGTCCTACCCCACAAACAACACCAAAACCGGTGTACAGCGGCGGAAAACGCCAATTCTCATTCAACACCGTCCTAAACCGCCTCAAATCCCGCCCCTCCAGCCCAGCACACGGCATCCTCCGCTCAACACCAACCTCTGCCGAAAAAGAAGCTCTTAAAACCGCCACAGAAGAGGAACGTCTCGGTCTTGTCCTTGGCGGCGACTCACACCGTCCTGAAGACGACGAACTGAACGAGCGTCTAGCGCGGACAGAATCGGTGTCCTCTAGTGGCTCCAGTCTAGGCGGTGGTCAGGCGATGATGGATCGCCTCCATCAGTCGCTTGACGAGGCGACGAGGATTTATCAGAGTCCAAAGCCGAAACAGCATCAGGTCTCTGTGTCGACGGTTTCAACTGCGCTGGGGGCTCCGTTTGAAGGGAATGCGGTTTATCCGTTGTCTTGTTCGCAGCCGCCATCGTATAGCACGTTACCACAATCTGAGGCTGTTCCAACGCAGTCACCATCGCAAAGAGCGAACCCATTGCCTCCAGTTCCGTCTGAGAGCCCGTTCGTCGCGGCAGGAGGTGATTCGCATATGCGGGTTGAGCTGCGGTCTCCGTATAGTCCTGTGGGATCAGATGTATCCAGTCGCGGACGGGGTGGATGGCGTCGCGAGGACTATTGATTGCTATATGAATAATGATTGATGATGGTCACGTTAAGCCGATCATGTCATGCTGTATATAATACGTTAATGTGTATATGAGGGTATCACGATAGAATAAAATAGAATCATCTCAGCATTCCAAGAACAGAAGGCTGTTTGCCCAACCTTATGGCAAACTTCGTTTCAGATAGATGTTTTTCCGCTTTGATACTCTCGATTGCCCTGTCAGAGTTAGCATCCACCCATTCCAAATAAGACAGAGGATAACTACCACTCAACCCCCACAACCTTTACCCCCCTTCCACACCTCTCAATCTCCTTTTGCAACTTTCCCGCCGCCAATCCCGCACCAGCTCCTTTATTCGCACCAGTGTTTGGTTTTCCAATGATAACATGCGTGACTGAGCGAGCGAAGACGAGCGAGAGCTTTGCGCCGTGAGACACGAGAAGGTGTTTAAGTTTATGGTCTGAAATGAGCGGCATTGTCGAGCCGTTGAGGTAGATTGTTGTTCCGGCGAGTATCTTTTTGGATGTCGGGGTGGTGGATGCAGGTGTTGATGCGGGCGCAGGTGTGGCTGCATTTGCATGTGTAGCTGTAGCTGTAGGTGTGCCTGTATCTGTATCTGTATCCGTATGTGCAATTGTAACAGATATATCCCGGTTCGCGTCGTGTGTAGATGTACTTGTACATGCAGATGTAGGCGTTGGCGTTGGCGCAGGCATATGCGTGGATGTATTGGACATATCCCCTCGAAGACACTTCGACTTCCCACCCATCTCACATAAACCATCCCTCTTCCTCTTCTGCACATCACCCATAAAATCCCTAATATCCCTCCCTTCCTTCCCCCTCTTCTCCTCCTTGTTCAGCACCACCCACTCCCCCCTCCCCTGTCCATCATAGTCAGCATTACAATCCCCAAAAACGAATTGCCTTCGTAACTTTTCCGTCCTCGAATCTCGCCAAACGATGGTGTGCGAGAGCGTGGGTCCATCGGCACGTTGGTGGCCTGTTGAGGCGGAGGACCAGGGGTCGAAGATTTGGTGGTTTTTTGGTTGTGATTGTTTCGGGGTTGACATTGCGGGCCGTGGTTTGTAGTGGTAGTTGTGTGTGTTGAGGTTGATTGTGGATGAATGAGGTGAGGTGAAGGTGAAAAGAGAACCATGGGTGGAATGTTGATGTTTTTCTGTTTTGGGTTAGTGTTAGTCATTCCAGAGTACAGTATGTCATTGCACCTAAATTCATGGTATATGATTGCTTAATGATGAGCTGTGTATGCCCTCTATATCTATATATAACAACGAAAGTAGGAGTAATCATTACGAGTCTAGCAACATAATGCTCGTAGACAGGCAGCGGAGCGGAGCGGGACAAGAACGGAAGGACTGTAGCCTATACTCATGACTGCCTAGTATCCATATCCAGGAACAGACCTGGCTCTTCACTAGCTGATCCACATTTCCCACATCTACAACAAATACAAAAACACCAACATGAAACCCAAATCCATAATGACAACCGCCGCCCTCGCCCTCTCAACCCAAGCTACAGCTACACCAACATCCTGCTCCACCGTCTCCCAAGTGACACTTACCTTCTACGGATGGCCTGATAATGATCCACCTAGCGCGGAGATAGCATATGACTGTGGACGGGGTAATAAAGCTGGCGGTAAGCACTTCTTTCCCCACTATCCATGAGTATGAGTTAACAGGTGCATGTAGGAAACGGAACATACGACAACCCTCTAACGGCTGCAAGTGCACCGGGTGAGTTTGATAAATGCGAGATTGCTTATCTGCCGTATATTCAGAGATATGTACGGATTGAGGATACATGCGCAACGTGCAGTATGTTGCCCTTCCCATGTATATACATGCAAATGCAATACAAGTGCATGCTAACAAAGCAGCCACGAACTGGAATAAAAAGCAACACCACATCGATATCTGGATCGAATCAATAGAGTCTGATGATGGAGGAAAGGTAATGGACTGTGAGAATACGTTGACGCCAAAACATGGGATTCGAGTAATTCGGAATCCGGGAGAGAAGCTTAGGGTTGTTGGTATGTCTCCGGGCTCCGCATACGGAGGTAGATATATATAGTATGGATGCTAACAATGTTTAGAGGAACCGTTATATCTGGATGGAAAGTGCTATATCGAGCTTGCAGGGTATAGCAATACGGAGTCTTGTGCTGATGCTGGTCCTCTTGGTGTCGGGGATGAGAATGAGCATGATCACGAACATCATAAACATGAAGACGACAATGACGATGAAACGGTATGCATGCACTCATCCTCCATTATATCATCCACTAACCAGATTAGACGTCCTCAGCAAAATCTATCTACGGCTCAATCCGGGATTCTAACCTTGTAAGTACCCCGTACCATGCTTCCCGTCAGATATATGCAGCTAACCAAATAGGGATTTCTCATGCTCGCTGTTGCTTATTTCCTTTTTCAGTAACGAACAGGGTATCTAGCTTATACTTGCTTAAATGAATGCGAGATCGGTTTCATGTATAAGTCAAGTGATATAGATCGACTGCTTGCAGTGATGCCGGTATGCATCTGCCCGTCTACACTTATACAGAATTAGTCAGGCGCATAAATGAATAACTACTAACTAATAACAACCCTCGGAGGACTTCTCTACTCCGGCCAACCCCGGATACTCCGGACTACTCGCCCGAGTAAATCCCCAGTGCAATACTAATAATGTAGAGGCCCGATGACAGAGTGTACTGCATGCAGCAAGGCAGAAATACGGTGAATCTAAAGTATGGCACGGGGTATACCTCCCCTCCAGAGAAGTACTCCGTACATAGTGGTTGCTACGTCACGATGGCTGACAGATGTCAAGCGATATGCAATCCATTTCACACACCGGCATTGGATCAGATCAGATGGAGATGGAGATGGAGGGGGAGATGGGACGATGGATGGATTGATGATCTGGCGGCAAGACTCGCATATGCAGCGGGTGTATGCATTAATAGTAGTAATCTACTTGTACAGTGAAAAGTGGACAGTCCAGAACATGAACAAGAAAAGTCCAAGCAAGGAGGGATGGTGGAGGAGGGGAGGGGGAAAGAGAGGGATGACAACTCACTCGCTTCTGACGTGGTCGCGTCCACCGCCAGTCATGCCGCGTCACCTGACTGTTACACTGTATTGCCTTACCGTACAGAGTCAGAGGGGTGGTAAAGTACTCCGTACTACAATGAATTGGCGATTCATGACCTGACCATTGCTTGTTAGGTGTTTATATATCCAGGAGATAAAACAGGTAGAAATGTAGGTACTATGCATGTGAGGTAAAGGGTCACACAACTGCATTTGAGAGAATCTGGAAACAGCCAGTGTTATGCACCACGGATAGAGCCGTGGCAGCTGCAGGTACAGCCGTACTGTTTTGTTTTGTACTTGTACAGAGTACAGAATCATAGAATCTTTACAAAGTCCTCTGTACAGAGAGTCAGTCATGGATGCCCGAGTCAGGGTATAACCTGATTGGCGGAGGATCACCCATAAATACCCGACTTGCATGAACCTGTACGGTGTATGTAAGTACAGACAGTGTACCGGTACTGTAAGTAACACTGCAGGCGCCGATCCTGTGATGAGGTGGAGCCCATCAGCGCCAAGGATTTCCCCTCTTTGATTCGGGGATTTGATTGGTCGCCGCAACGCCTGAAATTTGGCTGGCCATGGCTGGCCCGCTGATCTGCTATGCGTAGCCGGCGGGTGTCGGGCCGTGATGCTACATCTCTACTTACAGAGTACATAAGTATGTACGTAGAGTATGTACGGAGTAGTAGTATTCTACAAGTACTTGTATATGAACGGTATAACGGTCAATTACTACGGGGCCAATATCCTGATAAATGGTTAAGAACAGATAGTGGAAGATGCGTTGTCCCCACGCAAGGGGTTAGAACCGGTCAGCCGGTTAACAGACCTATCAGAAGAACCAGCGGGAGCAGGGATAGGGTGGTTTCAATTGTGCGACGGGGGAGGGAGGAGAGCGGTGAAATAATATCCCTTGCTTTCTTGCCAGATGGAAGATTCAATATAATTACTTGGACTGGCGATCCCAGGGTGCCCGTATCGTGGTGAGTTCTGAGCCACTGGTTCTCTGAATCCCTGTCAGACTTCTCATGTCTGTGCGACAGTATGGTACGGTAATACGCGGGCGCTAATGGATCGTAGATCTACTATCATGTCTCTGTACTTGTACTTGTACATACGGAGTAGTATTGAGTAGTCTATAGAGTACGGAGTATGTACTAGCAGAGATGGGAGTATACTAGTACTAGTACATACAATACAAGAGCACTTGTATCTATGTACAGTAATGGCCGTTATGCATCGGGCAGCTGCGCGTAGTACCCAGGACTGGGACTAGCATCATCCCGGCAGCTCAGGTCGATCGAATTACTTACAGGTGATCTGACAAATTCAACCCCTGTATGGTCCTTGCTTCTGTCAATCGAGTATGTATCTGTATTTGTCTGTACTCCGTATGAAGAGAAAAGGACTCTCTGTAAGCGTCTAGCGGTGACCTGCGGGGACAGTGCGTGAATTCTAGTTCGACAGCTTTGCTAGTTCTTCCCTGTCTTTCCGAAGAATGGTTGAAAATCCACTTCTAATTATTATTATTATTATTATTATTATTATTATTATTCTAGTCCCGGAGAGTGGCACTGGCACTAGTATCTGATGGCAGCTCCTCCTCTGTTGGGTTTAGAGTCTTGTCCACCGCCCGCTGTCTTCTCTGCCAGTGAAAAAGACCGCTCTGACCGGGCTGAGAGGGCATCACTTCTTTTCTTCTCTTTCTCTTTTTCTTACTTACATATATTCTTTCTATCTTCGTACATTTTTTATTCGATTCCTTCAAGGATCCTTGGTTGGAATAGAATTAACGTGCAGGTAAGTTTGATGATGATTGTTATGATTGTTTCTTTTTCGCGTCGCGCCTTGCTGCATCGAGTCTATCCACAATAATCTCTTCCGAACAACGGCAGAAGACAACCGACAGAGACAGCAGAACAGCAGAACGGCAGACAGCAGACAAGAGACAAAGACAAGCAGCAGACGCACATAGCAAACTCAATCAAGCGGTATCCCAAAATATCTTCATCCCTTTCTTCATTACTGCGTTGTTCGGTGATGATTCCATTGCATGTTGCCCTCCAGACTGCCATCACCGCCATCCCCATCTGAACAAGTGGCTCTTTTTTTTTTTTTTTTTTTTTTTGAATTGTTATTTATTTCTTTCCTAATTATTTCATTTCTTGAATTATTGTTACTATCAATTGTTGTGGCTCTACCGTTCTTCCCGCTGTCTGGGTCGATCGCTCCGCTCGCAGTTCTCTTTCTTATATCTACCACGGTTCATTCCACGGTTTTTTTTTTTCCATCAAACTTCTGTCTACTGTTCTGTGTTCTAAAAAAGAGACACATCCACATACCGCTCTCCATACATACAGATACAGATACACACTTACATCCACGCTTATCGGATCTCCTGCGTTTGCTGCTGCTGCTCCTGCTGCTGCACGGGCCCAGCCTCCTCCAGCTGTCTCTCTGTCGGTCTACTGTCGGTGTCTCGCTGCATCATCCCTTCGTTTGTTCGCCTCACACATACTTCCTTCTTCCTCCTCCATCTTCTCCCCCCCATACATACATATATCTACTGCCCAACCCCCATCTTGTCTCGCTCTGTTGCTTGCCTCCGTCTCGCATGATCTTAACGTTGTTACGATTTCTTCCTTTTTTTTTTTTTTTTTTCCCTATTTATTTTACTTATACTTTTTTTTTTTTTCTTAACTTAGAAAAGAGACTGCACGATTGACGCCCTGCTTACGACCTGTTACGATTCTTGCCTTTAGATTTGCTGCTGCTATACATACAACCAACATACATCCGCTTCGCTTCGCATCACTTCGCATCGTCTGTCCTCCTTCAATTTGACGACTGAAACGTGACCCATGAACTTTTGCCTCTTCTAGCCTTGCCTCTTCATGGTTCCTTGCTGGTGATCTCAATTATTATCGTCGCCTCCAGAAAAGCTTAGATTTCTTGCATCTTTTCCAGCGTTCTTCGAGCGTTTTTTTAACGGTTACGACCTGCCACGATCTACGCCACGACTGCACAGCCTTTTGCTTTTTTTTTTTTTTTTTTTTTTTTTTTTTGCATCTGTTTGGCATCATCTTTTTCCATTTTCCTGCCAGCCATCTTTTTGTGTTTGACTCTTATAACCGTGCATGCCGATACTTCTTCGGTCTTGTACCACTGCACTTCTCACATCTCCCTGAAACTATACGGCGTGTCGAGCATCTTTCAGTTCGACAGCCTTCCAAGCATTTTTGCTTGTTATCCTTTTTCTAGCCGGTTCTCAGACCAACCGAAAAACTGGAGCTCCCATCGATCTCGCAGGTCCACATCAGAGGTCCTGCTGAAATTCCTTACTACAACCCTCACGCTGCCGAACGGCCGTTGCTGCCCGGCGACAAACTCCCTGCTTTGAGCCTGCCCACAGCCTCGCAGTCTGCCTACCGGACCGCCTACCCTGACCCGTCCGTCACCAGCTCTCACACTTCGAGCGCGCGCACCAGTCTCTCTGGTCCCACCGCCGCTCTCCACGATAATCGCACCCCGCCGCCCTCTGCTGATCTCGTTACTAGCGGTCCTGCGGATTATACCGTGCCCTCCACCGTCAGTGAGAGCTACTACCCTCCTCCCCATCCCATCAGCAGCATGAACCACACCCCTCCGTACATGGACGTTCACTCGTCGCACTTGTCGTCTGCTCAGCCGTATGCTTCGCAAGCCGCCACGGCTGGTGGCATGTCTCATTACTCTTACCCGGGACAACCTCCGGTTTTGCAGCCGGCTTCGACCACCTACGGACCCGCCAGTTCGTACTCACAGTATGCGTACCCTGGGGTGACCTCGCCCCAGTCTGCCACTCAGCCGCCTACGACGTCCATGACTGCCGCCCAATTGTTGCCATTGCCCGGTGAGTTCTCTTCCACATCGATATTCGTTTACCATACTAACAGGAACAGCCGTTACCAACCCCTCTGTGGCACCGCCGTACGGCAACACTAGTGGCAGCCCAACGCAGGGATATGTGTATGATACCACTGGTCAGATTGCGCCTCCCGGGGCCAAGCCACGCGTGACGGCCACCCTGTGGGAAGATGAGGGCAGTCTCTGCTATCAAGTTGAATCCAAGGGTGTCTGTGTTGCACGGAGAGAAGGTAAGACCAGTCTTGCACCATGCTCTAATGGCAGAGGCTAACATGTCCAGATAACCATATGATCAACGGTACCAAGCTGCTCAATGTCGCTGGCATGACTCGTGGTCGTCGTGACGGTATCCTGAAAAGCGAAAAGGTCCGTCATGTGGTCAAGATTGGTCCTATGCACTTGAAGGGCGTGTGGATTCCCTTTGAACGGGCATTGGAATTTGCCAACAAGGAAAAGATCACGGATCTGCTGTATCCCCTGTTTGTGCATAACATTGGTGGTCTGCTGTACCACCCTACCAACCAGACCCGGACCAACATGGTCGTTCAAGAGTCGCAGCAGCGACGATTGGAAGCCCCTCAGCTCACCCGGACCCCGGGACCACAGCCGTCTGCTCTGCATCATCACCATGCGCTGCAGACGCCAGTGCCCTCGCACCTGCCTCCGCACAGCATGGCGTCGCAGCCGGGCCGACCGGCCCTTGACCGGGCACACACCTTCCCCACTCCTCCGGCCAGTGCATCGAGTCTCATGGGCATCACGAACCAGAACAGCTCGTATGAGTGGGGTAGCCAAGTACAGAACTCGCAGCCGCTGTCGATCGATACGACGCTGAACAACGCGCGGTCCATGCCCACCACACCCGCCACGACCCCGCCAAGCAGCCTGCAAGGGATGCCATACCAAACCAGCCAGCCGGCCTATGATACGAAGCCGTACTACTCGGCAGCCCCGGCTTCTCATGCGCAGTATGCTCCTCAGCACCCGCTGACGACATACGGACAGACTCTGCCCCCGTCCACCTATGTGAAGAGTGAAATGGGTCCTCCATCGGCACGAAACCCGCCGGAGAGTGAGACTGCTGATGTCAAGCCACCGACTAATGGTCAGAGCACCGAGGCTGAGCAGGAGTCGGAGTACGTGCAAGACAACGGTAGCTACAGCAACGCCAACCGCGGGTCGTACACGTACACCACCAACCCGTCGGTGAGCACGTTGACGGGTGAGCACTCCCAGCTGACCCCCGAGCTGAGCTCCCCGTCGCAGCAGAACGGGTCGGGTCGCATGACCCCTCGCACCGGTGGTGGCCCTCCCTCTCAATGGACCGGGTACAACACGCCTCCGCGCCCGGCCGGCGCGGGCAGCCTCTACAACATTGTCAGTGACACTCGCGGCACGCCGGCCAACGGCCCAGAGTCTTACTCGGTCGCATCCAACTCCGCCCCGACATACTCGGGGATGAATGGATCGCTGAGTGCTGGCAGCAAGCGTATGCGCGAGGACGACGATGTGGACCAGGTCGTCCGTCCGGACAGTCGGGGTACCGACTATGACAGCAAGCGTCGAAAGACCATCACCGAGGTGAACGGTCCTCTCGCTGGACCGCCTCTTATGCAGCCCATGAAGGCTGGTGGTGTTCGTCGCTGTTAGTTTTCTTTTCTGGGATTTGCTGGACAAATGAAATGAAATGACATGGGATTGGGATTGGGATTGGGTACTGGTGTTGGTTGAATAGACCACGTTTTTTTTTTTCTTTTTTCTTTTTCTTCCGTCGTGTTTTAATCTCTTTTCTTGCGGATGAATATGGATGAGCCGTGCATTCGGGCTAGCGTGCCCTTGTTTCTTTTTCTCAAGCCTAGTCAGCGTTATGGTACTCTTGGTCTCATTTGGCATGTGCTTGTTTCTGAAGGGCTTACGACCATGATGTTACGAATTTCCTAGATGTTTTGATTTAGCATGGTCTATTGACCTATAAAAGGGTGGTTACAATTGTACTTGCATTGTAGTTGCGCTTGTAGGACCGGGATGAAGTAGAAGATACAGATTGATTCTGTACATACAGGGTATAATTAACCCATAAACAATAGCAGTAGCATTATGTGTACACGCTTAAAACCAAACAAGAATCCATGCAATCACAACACCATAACCTCGACCGTAAGACAAATCACAGCTTAGCAGCATCCTTGACCTCCCCAACCTTCAACTTGGGCGTATACTTCTTCAACACATTCTCGTTGTGGTACTGCATCATCACCATTAGCCCATCTTGTCCATCCCATCCACCACCCATCGCATCGCAATCTGTATCCAGGGGCAGGCAATACCTTCCAAAACTGCTTCGACGCATCCTTGCCCGCAACACGCTTAAGAATCTTCGCACCACCGGGATGCTCGTCGACGAAATTCGTGACGTCGTAGACATTGCTGTCGATGATGATGTACAGGCCCTTGTCGGGGGTCTTGTGCGCGGCGACGTCGGCGGGGGTGAAGGATTGGGACATTTTCAATCAATCTTTTCTTTCAGGTATTCGGATTGCGTGGACGAATTCGAGGATGTATATAAATGTATAAATGTTAGAATGTTGTTGTTGTGGTGGCTTGAAAGGTGGTAAGGTGTTGAAGGGATCTGGGGTCGGCCGAGTAGCGAGGCTCGGAATATGGAGACCGAGCGGAGACTGACGGGGTGGGAAATGCCGAGGTTAAGGGTCATTTGCCGCGGTCAGCTATTTGTGTGGGTTTTTATTGGCTACGCACATAATACTGATTAGTTAGTATGGGGGTATTAGGATAACTAATCGTGTGTATTCCAGATCTACCAAGGGTATCCTATCCTATCCTAGCACTACCGGCATAACAACAAAATAAATGTCAAGAAAAGATGAACGAGATCAAACCAGATATCATGAATGCAACGCCAGACTCAAAACACATTCTATGGACAAGAAATAAAAGATAAAAGACAAAAGAAAATCATCGCACATGATAACTAGGCTTCCGCTGCTTATTCACAGCCGGGGGCGGCTCGTCCACCGGATACGGAGGCCTCACTTTACCATTCCCACTAACCATCGTGTCCGGCACTGGCATCATGATCCCGCCTACGTCGGTCGGGTCGTCCGGATACGGGATTGGGGTCTTGGGGGGCACAGGCGGTGGCATGCCCATGCCCTCGTGAAGATAGTCGCCGCTGTGTCGCGGAGAGGAGCCGAATAGGTGAGGGAATTGCTCGCGCTGTTGCTGCGAGCTTGGGCGGCTGCGGTTGTGGAAGCTGGAGATGTCGCTGCCAGAACCTCGCGCTGGGTGTGGGTGGATGGCGTCCTGGGGGGTTGGGTGGGCGGGGAGGGTGTCCTCTGACTGGGACGGTGCGTGGTGGCTCGTGGTGGTCAGCGGTGTGAAGTCGCCTGGGAGCTCGGCGGGCAGTTCGACGGCCATCGGGTTTGATGGAGGGGGCACGCCGTATGTGGGCGAGTGTGGGGAGAGCAGGTTGAGGTTGATGTCCTCTTGGATACTAGAGGTATCGCTGGTTCCGCTCGCAACCGCTGCGTGTGCCGACAGTCGCTGATGCATGCGGTTGATCTTTGCGAACTTGACACCCGCGCCGAGGATCATCTTCTTCACCTCCGGTCTGGACAGATAGCGACGGGTGTTGGTGCTGATGTCTGCCAGACGGTTCCATTCGTTCATGCCAAACTCTCCCACACCGACCTCGACGTTCAGACGGTAGTAGTTGTCTTTGCTGACGTTTCGCTTCGCCAGGTGGTTGCGCAGCATGTCGTTGTGAATACCTTCGCATCCTTCGATTTTGGTGATCAGACGTCGTCGCGCTTCAGCAAAGACACCCAATGCATCGCCAAAGAAGTCCTCCCACCACTCGTGTTGCCGGTTGTTGGTGCCCGGGGGGCGCTTGCCTGTTCCCACGCTGATGAAGACACCGATTTCTCGTCCGGGCCATTCGTTCACGGTGGCTTCTTCCAATACATGCGGCGCGGGGTTGTAGGTGCCAGGTCCCTCATCGATGAAAAAGCTTTGTCCGATTTGGATGGGTTTGAAGGCTAGACCGGTGGCCGAGGTAGCCCGACCGGCTTGCCAAACTGTGCAGTCGAACTCGGGAGGCGGTTCTTTTCGCGAGTCGTAGGAACGGAGGAAGACGGATGAACCGTTGCGAGAGGTGCCTTTGTACAACGCGGTGACGGCGCTACAAGCGATATTATTAGCGAAGCGACTATATTATAAAAGAGAAGGGAGCTCACGTCTTTGTACGATACTCCCGATTGTCATAAAGAAGAGCATCCGGGTTCCCCCACCGCAAACCGTTGATAAACGTAGAATTCCTCTGGCTCACAGGAGTCGACGGATGCGACGGCCCGCGGGCACTGTAACTCCCCCGACTGACGGTGCGCTGAGGAATCGAATGAAGCGAATTAGGACTAAACGGAGCGCTTGCGATGGAATTACGATCGCTCGACGCCGGAGTAATATCATTCCCCTCAGCCTCAAACACGGTATGTTCCCTCACACACTCGCGAATCGCCTCTTCAAGCTTCGAAGCCTTGAACAACGTCGATCGATACGGAATCCCCGCAAACGTCTTGTCGGTCTCGAAAACGCGCTTGGTCATGCGCGTGTAGACTTCCTTGCAGGTCTCGAGGTCGAGGCGTAAGCGGCCCAGCATAAGGGCGATCAGACCGCCGGTGCCGGTGCCGACGATGAGGTCGAAGTGATCGCATGGTTTGGGGATTTGGTCGCGACGAGGGGCTCTTCCTTCAGATTCGACGTAGGTGCGGTACATGAGTTCCTGGAGGAGGATGAGCATCGAGTATCCTCGGACGCCACCGCCATCGAGCGATAGAACCCGCAACGGGGGGCCCTTTGTTGTGTCTTTGCGATGAAGATTGACCGAATTCATGTTGAGATCCATGTCGGGGTCCATGCTGGCAATCTCTCACCCACTAGGGGAGAAAAATCGACGAGAAAACTTCCTGATAAAAAGAAAAGCAGGCGGAATGACGGTGCCTTGACTTTGGATTTCAGCGGACAGAACCGTGGGTCAGGAATCGCGCGGTTATAAATAGTAGTCAGATGACTGCAGGTAATAAGCAATAGATTGTTGTCTTAGAATAATCACAGATAGTAGAAGAGAGAGTCAAGAGAAGTTAAGAGTAGTTAAAAGAATAGGTAGAGAGAAAGTAGAGAGAGTAGTGTGTAGCTGAGAGGCAAAACAAGGACGAACTCTTTTTCAGGAACAGCCACACCCACTGTCCACCACGCGCTGTATAGTTCTCCTAACCCTTCTCAATAATCTGCAATAATATTCCGTATGGGTGTACTTGAGCACTTCTAGAAACCCAACAGAACTCCCAACATCCCTTTACTTGTGTGCTCCTCTCTATCTCGCTATCTCGACTGGTGGCTTCAGATGACATAATGTGGCGGTGCTCTGCGTCATGGGGCTGTGTTTCCTAATGGGGCAATTGGGTATGCCCGAAGTATACGAGCAGACACTACGATTGGGCATACAAGTCCCCTCAGTTGGGATACGGATATTGGCACTTGCATATTCGTGACATCAATCCCTGCATACCCCGGACTGCATACGGGTACGGAGTATGGAGGAGTCCATGTGTAGGGAATAGACCCGGATCCATGGGGCCATTTGGGCAGACTATTTGACCGAAGGATGTAACCGTAAATCCTGGTCACAGTCTCAAATATCTCTATGGTAGATCCCGGTAGATGCTCCTAGCATTTTGACAGGTATCAATTGAGTAATCTTCTATGTCTAGCGGTTGCTCAGCATCCTTCAAGACAGTGAGAGACATCGGGTGTCCATTCTGGATATTGACTGGCAATGTTTGAGACTAGCGAAACCGAGTATAATGCCATTGTGCACTTGGCCAGAAGACAATCAGTCGCTCCAATTACTATCAGGTCATTTGAATCAATTCCACAAAGAATACATGGAGAAATCAATTAGATAGATAGATTCTCACGGGACCATGCCCGCCTCAAGTCTATAAAAGCCGGTCAATCTCCTTCATTTCACCCATTCCTTTCACATCACTCTCAACATTCCATTCGAAGCCTGACAGAATGCCAGCCTTCCCCATCTCTGATCCCCCGGCTCAACCACTAGTCCCCTACCAGGACATGGAGGACACCGGCCTCCCCTTCGCAACGGCCCTCCAGCGCCTTCACTCCACTCTAACCAAATCCCTCGTCTTCTTCAACCAGCTAAACCACAGCTTCAACCAAGACACCAAGACCGTCAGCAACTATGCCAAAACTCCGGTCCTGGACCAGATCTGGAAAGCGAAAGTTGCTGCCGCCAGGCATGGACTTCCTCAGCAGCAGTCGCCCGAAAGTACCTGGCAGAAACACAAAGCTACCCTGAAGGCCAAGATCATGGGCAGCGATGGCAGCGGTAACAGCTATGTCAACCCAAGTGCAGTCTCCACCGGCTTCCATGACTACATCAAACGCATCGAGAAAGACCTCTTCGAGACGATCCATGCTCGCTGGCCGCGTGGAATCAAAACAGACCTTGAACACGAGATGACGTTTAACATTGCGCTTATCTGTCTGAGTTATATGTACCACCGTATGGCCGAGTTTGCGAGCTATCTGCAGAGGGTCGACAAGGAGATCCAGCACAGTCATTCTGTGTTCCGGAGTTTTGTGAGGGATGCGGAGTTGTTGCAGATATCGTTGGAGCAGAACTGGGAGTTCTGGCAGTATTGATTTCTGTTTTGTTTTTGCTTTCTTGTGATTTTGTTCGGTTGATTTGAATGTTATTTGGATTGATAGGTTCGACGTTCATAGAGGCAATAGAAGTTTCAAAGTTGGGGTTCAAATGCAAAGTGAAACAGTCTTATAACAAATGATTGAGCAAAAGTAAGCGAAGGTCGGGTTAATAATCATTCTATCGGCAGTAATCCAGCCTCCTGTGGACTGTGTTCGGGTTTCGTAAAAGACTTATACTGTAGTCGAAGTGCATAGGCAACAAACAAAATAGTGAAGAAACCCATGACACTGTACAAGAGTACAGCTGGGTTCAACACACACCATCCACCGAAGATGCAGGTAATGAGTATGATTGCCAGTAAAGGCCTTGTTTATTCCAGCCATTTTGTTGGTTAATCAGCGTTTTTAGGTGAGTGGGTAGCGTGTGGGAGGAGAATGCGCCTGTCACGGCCACAGGCAGCAATGCCGTCATTCTGTAGCCTGGCATAAGAACAAAAGTTCTATCTAAGCAGTCACGCCGTAAGAAAGGCTGTCTTATCCTCCAGCTTGGTCTCGAGAGCTTCCAGTGTCCGGTCGTGTGGTATAGGTGCAAGGCCCAGCCAATTTCCTGGCAATGTCAATTAGAATTGACATCAAGAATACTAGGTCACTGTGCAAAAACATACCCTGCTCATCCCAGAAATCCGCTCTTCATTCTTCATTCCTAGCTAGAAACTCAGGCGGTGGTGGTCCAAGTGCAGCAATGAGCTGGGCTATATGAGCAGCGTCATAGAGATCCCAAGCCTATAGATGCTCTTAGTCCATGAGAAAATGGGTGTAAAGACTAGATGACATACCGTAAGGCCAACGCTCCAGCTATCAACAGGGTAGCTCCAACTGAAATAATGCAACGTTTTCGGGGCTCGATACTCCAAGGGCATGATATCACCGGCATGCGGTCCAGGGCCGATTCTGGCTTCTCCAAAATCCGCTAGCAGCATCGGTCCTATATCAGGTCGCATGGCGTGAGAGAGATAGATCGTCCGAGTAGCATAGACCACTTTGCGAGGCATTAGGGATGAGAACTCCCTCTCTTCGAGTCTTTGCAGCATACTGTCATCATCGATGCCCAAAAGCATGTTTCCCGGGTGTATAGTTCTAGGACAAAAGTCTACGTAATTTCCCGCAACTACGAAAATATATATAATCGCCAAAACATTTCTTTTCCCATAAAACAACCAAACATCAATATTTTTACTAGATAATTAAATATGTAATAGATAAGTAGCATATAAATGGTAGAATAGAATAAAAATTTAATTAATAATGTGTATACCACCCCTTTGCCTCTAAACTGCATTAACACGGTTCTCCATCGACCCTACCAACCCATCAAAAAATTCCTGTCCTAAACTCTCCCATGCATTCTCCATGGCCTTATAAAATTGCTCTTTCAATTGCTCTTTGGTCCCATTAAATAATTCAAGGTCTGGATAGAGCATATATCTACGCTCTTTCAGCTTGGCCCAGGCATGTTCAATAGGGTTCAAATCAGGCGAGTAGGGCAGCAAGTCAACAAGAGAAATACCATGCTCATCAAACCAATTATTAATAATATTGGCTGTATGTATGGGAGCATTATCTTGCATGAATTCCATACCAGATTCCCATATAACAGGTAGATAATCCTCAATAATTTCCAAATAGGAGCGTGAAGAATACCCTCTTCGAGCAGATTCCTCATCCCGACTCATTCAATAGATTTCAGTATGGCCACCACCCCAGATCGCTGCCCAAATCATGATAGATATTCCTTTGCTTTTGGTGTACGGAATAATATGCTTTTTTTTTTTTTTTTTTTTCCATTTTTCATTGAAGTGGTTGAGCCGCCATACCCATTGATTCTTCTTCCCTTTGCCAAGCTCAACAGAGCATTCATCACTCCATATAATCTTGCTCCACTGCTCATATGTCCAATCCTTGCGCATGTATGCCCATTCATAGCGTAGTTTAGCTATTTCTTCAGTTAACTGAGGTCTTTTTTGTGCTCTCCAGTGGCCATACCCAGATTCTTTTAACATGCGTTCAACAGTGCGTGTAGAAATGGGCATCCCAAGTAATTTGCAGATATCTTCAGTTTTGATAAAGGGATCCCGCTTAATTTGTAAAAAAATATATCGCTTATCAGCATCAGAAAGGATCTCTGGCCGTCCAATGCGAGGAGAACTAGTGCCGGTGGTGGAGGACTGATATGTTTGAATGGTGGTTTGAATTGTTGTATACGGTAAATTCATTTCGCGCTGAATATCGGCCTTTTTCTGGCCTGCAAGGAATCGGCCAACTATAATTCCCCGTTGGAAAGGTTCTAATTCCTTTCTATTAGTTCTATTAGAACTAGTAGATCGTAAAGGGGCGCGAGGCATGGTGTAGGTGGTTGAAAAGAGGATGGACAATATCAAGTGGCGCGTCGCGCGACGCGGAATTACGTAGACTTTTGTCAGGTGACTGTACATCTATAGCGGTATATAAGCAAAGTAAGTGCATGACAATAGAACAAGCGAGCAATACCGGTATGAGCAACCTCTCCATGGGCATGCAGAAGATCCAAGGCCTTAAGAAGTCTAATAATCGTGGCCCTGACGAAGCCTTCCTCAAATCCGCCCTTCCAGAAGACCAATCTCAAATCGCGTAGGCTCATTTGCGCGATTTCAGAGACAAGGACGATATGTTTTCCATGTGTTCTACTGATCTCAAAAGAGTCTAACAATTTTCGAATGTTGATTCGTTCTTGGTGTGGACTTCCCGTCATACGGCCGGCAAGATGGCGATAAACATAGAGCTCGTGGTGAACCAACGATGAATACACATATACCTTCAGTACAACATATTGATAATCTCTAGACGAGTTTAGCTAGGAACCATGACCGTTGGCTCAGTATGTACTTACTTTAGATCCCGGGCTAGCTAAATCGTCGACGAGACACCGAATCTAAGCTTTGCAAGAATTTGATAGCGATCCTGAAAACCCTCTCCCAGTCGAACAGGGTAAAATCAATCCGCTCTATAATCAGGCAGCTCCTCTTCAACAAGTTTGTCAAGCTCGATGGTTTGAAAGCCGCTAGTAGGAAGCGACCGGGGCTCTTCTACCACTGTTGGCATTGTTCTACCAGTTGACTTGGCTGAGAACCGTCTGGAAAGAGAGAATACACCCATGTGGATTGTTCTTGACTGTAGACCTAAACTCCGTATGAAAGAAGCCATGTTGATAGCATCTATTGCGCTACTCGTTCGAGCAGTTATAAGCGTAACACGAATTCATAGGTCACTTTAGTTTACCGCGTTTATTCAACAATGCAGCATTCTGATATACCATCCCGGTCTATAACAAATGTGAAGCTGCTATTCAAAATCCTGCCGCATAAGATCTAACTTGCTATTGTACTGTAGCTGGTGCCGCGTTGATAAACCGGACTTCGAGGGCTGGGAATTTGGACGTTTGGTCTCTTGCTTTGCGAGGTAAAGTTGACTAGATAAATGTCCAGTCCAAGTATTGTGAGATACTTGTCTGCCTGCCTGAAGGCGGTGTCAAAGTCACCGTGACCAGTTGCTCGTCACCTCGTTCGTGCATGTTCAGTTGCGTGTAATGATATTCCTCAAAGTGATACGCCTCAGAGTGGAAAACGTATGTACATTTTCCTCAGTACTGAGGTCCGTGTCGTCATCGTATCCAATTGTGGACAAAATTCCTATGTTAAAAAGGTGCTCTTGAGAAACGTTCAACGGACTAGGGTTTGTGTGATAACTGGAGACTCCCTTATGGTTTCTTCGCGAACGATCTGCGGCACAGTGTCATTAAAGGTCTCTTTTCGGTGAAGGCAGGCATTTTTCGGAAGATAGCCTTATTGAAGGGTGATAGAGAGTGCGGCTATCGGCACTCCAGTCCAAGTTGGAATGTACCAACGCCGGTATATGCAATGGCACTCGTGGCGAGCCAGTCCAGAAGTTCCGCTGTTTCAGGATAGTCCTAAACAACCTGCAGTTCATCGAATAAGCAGGTCTCATCGGCCGAATAAATGCCATTATTCTCAACTAAACGAATCCTGAATTCGTCCGGAACAAGATATTCACGGAATATGGAATGAGATAGATACATGGCTGTAGAGGTCTGCTCCTCCTGACTTCGCCATGCGGGTCGCAGCTATAGCGCCCTCCAGCCGTATAGGTCTGGCACTGGTATAATTGCTTGATGATTGCTGTATAACCACAGTTACCGAAGAAAGCATCTGAGTAGGAAGTACTCTATCATGGACACGATGGCACATCGATTCTGTCATTTATTCTTCCTTACGTTTTTCCAGCTCTCGTGCGCAATCCGGCGATAATGAGCCTTTCAGGATTGCCAAAGCAGATGCCATATCCATTCCATTCCGACCCAACTCCTCCAAAACCATTGTCAAGTTTTGCGTTTTCACAATCGGCCCTTCACTCATATTTATTATCTTGGACAGCGGCTTGAGTGCAAGCACACTCCTCTCTTCTTCCACGTACAGCCGATGCTCTGTCAGGGGAATGGTCGAGTTTAGGAGACTGGAAGTAGATTCGGCCTCAACAAGCTCGGTTTCTTTGGTAGTCTCCTTCTGAGAGTTTTCCTGGGGGGAAACGATTCGGTAGGTCACTGTGAATTGGAGGCCGAGGGGCATTTCTTCCGAACAGATGACTCCGTCCCCTTGTGACGTTAATGTGGCTTTGGTAGTCGCGTTTGACGGACCGATGGTGTACGTGGTTGAACGCGAGTCTGTACGTTTTTCCTCGAGCACTTCAGTGGGCCAAAACACCTGCGCGAGCACGGAATGGTCGTGTAAGATGCCGAGGACATGTTGCGTATCGAGAGCTTCTGGGATGGGATAGTGCTCCTTTTTCGCGGTTTTGGTTGAGTAGAAGACTTCATCTGGGTTAGTCACTTCTGGGCATGTGGATAATGAAAGGTACTCACAGGAAGACATGTTGTTTGGTCGTTCGTACTTGTAGTTGGGGGGAAGTTGGTTAGAAGTCGGACGAAACCAAACAAAGCAACCGTAGGTAGACTTTACCTTATCTCCACTGTACTTTTTATAGGTGGATCATATGTGAATATGGGCTGATTCCCTGACATCATGATTATTATAACTATAGTAATTAACAATAACTATCATGCAAATGCCAATCATGCTAACATACAAAGTGGTATCCCAAAAGCCAAACAAAATGCCTCTATACAAACAAAATGAAAACCGAAACGAATGTACAATTACACATTACGATCAAAAACCCTTAAACGGATCCTCAAACCTCGACCCAGACGTCTCAAAGCTCCCCCTCGGCTGCGGATACCCATATCCACTCGACAACCCCGAACTCCACTGACTACTCGACGGTTTCCTCCGATGTCTCTGCCCCTGCCTTGAGCTCCCACGCGGCGGCCGATTCGCATCCGTCTGGTCAATAAACGCCTCCATACGGACTGTCCCGATAGCATCGAAGAAGTTACTCGTCGCGCTGCCGGCCACGCTGGATGAAGGACCGCTGGTCTCAGAGGTGCGCCGGCTGATGCTTGTGCGGGTGCTGTTTGGGCCGTTGGTTGGTATTGAGGGTGGGTAGATGGCGTCGAAGGAGTTGTTATTAGATGCTGGGCCCATGGCGGAGAAGTTGCGCATGGATGATGGTGGTGGCATTCGGGGCCCAGTGTTGCTGCGCTTGCGGTTGTGTTTGCTCGAAAACATGGGGACTGTTGGGGGAGCGGCGGCGTCGAACATTGAGTCGTTGTCATCCATGGGGTCTTCGGGGACTGGGGCTGGTTTGTTGTTGTTGGCAAATGGACGCTTGGGGTATGCCCGGGGGAACTTGGCTGCCTTGAAAGATTCGCGGATGGGGTTCTTGCGTATGCTGCCGGTTGAGGCGGGTGAGGCGTTAGCCTGCGCTTGCGGGATTGGTGGGAGGTTTGCGATTTCATCCAGGTCCATGGAGGAATGGCTTAGGAAGGAGAGGGCTGTGAGCCAGACATAGTGGCGTTCCATGCTTGTCGCGGTGAACTTTAGTGCTCGTTGGGGTGTGAGGACCAGGATTGAGCGGTTGAATTGGCTTGCTGGACTGGAGCCCTTGGGAAGAGGGTTGTCATCTTTGACGTCGAGGACGGATTGAATCGTGACTGTTTTCAATTAGTATCCTGTTTGCACCGAACAGGGGGTAGGGACTTACACTTCCGACCACTCTTGCCCAGCAACGCCGGCCCGCTGGTAGGCTGCTTGCTACTCCATATGATAGCCCGTTCATACGGGGCCAACCAAACCCATCTCTTGTGCCTCACGCCACTATTCGTGATACTCGCCGACACCTCATCTGCATTCCGACCCTCCCAGTTCTCCTTCGGCTCAGAGGAGTTCCCAAACGACTTTCGCCGGACGTACTTGAACATCCACTCGCCAATCATAGTCTGCGCAATCGCGTCGACCACGCTCGTCTGCTGAATCGATGTGGCCGTCGAATCCTGTCGTTCACGATCGAATACACTGCCACTACCGCTGCCACTGCCACTGCCACCACCATTGCCACGGTTAACACTATTGACACCACCGTACGCAACGTCGCGCCATATAGATTGCCTCCGCTGTGCCGGATGCGGCTGGTCTTCGATAATATCATCGAAAGGCAGCGACGGCCGCCTGGGGCTATCAGCCGAGGAATTCGATACACCGGGGGATGAGAAACTACCAAACACATCCGGCTGGGAACCCTGCGAGACAGTGGTCGCCGACCGGACCCGACGCAGAGTCGGCTTTCTGTTGATTGGGGGGCGAGGACGATCGGAGAAATTCCTGCTGTTGTATGACGGCGTGGGGCTATCTCGTCCGTCGCTGCAGGTAGTGGGGAATCCCCTCGAGCTGTGTCGGATTGGGACGGGGAATGGGGGCGCGACGCTGGTGGTACTAGCGCTATCGGTGCTGGGGTCACTTGCGCTGTGGACTCGCTTCTTTTGGTGCGCGGCTGCACTGTTGGTGATCATGGCAGCCCGGCGGATATCTTGCTGTCGAGCCGCGGAGCCCTTCCTGTGAGAAGATACGATAGACTCAGTACCATCATTGTTAACCGACGATTCAAGCTGCATCTTAGCATCGGAGAGATGCTCCTCGATCTCAGGCAGGGTAGTGTTATCCAATGAAGGATGATGCTGTGTCGACACCATCTTCCCTCTCCTGAGAGTATACGTCGCAGTAGGACGATTCATCAACTCATTATCGCTAAACATATCCATTTTCTTGTCGAAATTCTCTTCATCGCTCAGGTCCTCAAACCCAGCAAAGAGACTACTCGTCCTTGGCGGCCGGCGCATACCCGGCGTCGATCCCTTGGACAGAGGCCCATTATCGTTATTCCCAGGGTAAACCTGGATCCTCCCCAGCGGTCTCTCCGAAGAATCGCTGGGCCGCCTTTCAGCAGACGGCATTGGCTTGCGCTGAGGTTGAGGTTGAGGTCTCTTCTCTTCCTTACTCGCCCGAGGCATGGGCATGCGGTACGGCTGAGATTGCGTAACCCGGGCCTCATTCCTGAGCGGGATGTCAGGGATAGCTGACGGTAATAAGCTCGCGGGGAGTTTCACGGGCCGTTGGTCGATCCGGATCTCCTCCGTTTGGATTGCAATCGAGTTGCCCTGGATGGGTTGGGTGGTCGTTTGACAGGATGCGCTCTTTGTTTGCGGGGGTAGTACCACGCTGCTGCGCGGCGATGGGGGCTCAGAGAGGGGTGGGTGGATTGTAATTGTTGGAACTTCCATGCCAGGAGAGAGGGCGTCCTGCGGGGACAGGCTGTTCTTCTTCTGGGTCTGGGGAAGACCGCTTGGCACAGACTCTGTCTGCGTAAATGCGGAAACCATGGTGAGCTGGACAGGAAGTGATTGCGGTGATGATGTTGGCGATTCAGGGAGTTTTGGTGTATAAGGAGGACTGGGGAGGTCGCCAACAGTCTGGCATGAGGCCGATACCATATCAATGGTCAGAGTCAGAGTGCTGCTGTCCTTTGCCTGGCTGTCTTTGACGGCAGGCAGGCTTTGTGCCTTGGGCGGTGGTGGTGGTGAGTATTGGGTTCCAACGTCGCGATACACATGAGGCGACGCAGGGAGAGGAATCTTGCTCGGACTCTTGATTGATTCCTGAGCCGCATCGCCATCAGTGCTACCGCGATTGCTTTCAAGTCCGAGACCAAGGATCTTCCTCGCCTTCATTCCCACGATATGCGACATCTGGGAATGCGCTGACGCAGGTCGCGCTTCTTCTGGGAGGGCTCCGGGTGAGTCGGAAATCGAATCATCGTCTAATGTAACGAACTCTTCGTCGTCGCTGAATTCGAGCTCCTGAGCGAGATTTAAGCTGTTATCGCTCTTGTTTTGAATGTTGGCGAGGCTCGCGACGGAGTATCTGATATTATGCATGTCGCCTTCGTCGGAGCTTATGCTCGTCATGCTGGCGCGCCGTCGGCCCTGGCTGCTGGAATAGATACTGGCTGTGTCGCTGTTGTCCTTGATGTGGTTCGCGAGATGTTCGTTACTTTCAGCCCTTGGTGTCTCGTTGGTTGAATTGGAACGAGCTGCCTGGGCGGCAAGTTCATTCAAAACAGTCTTGAGACGATTCTCAACGACATGGACCTTGCGCTCCAGATTCCTCCGTTCATTATCCCATGACTCGCGCTCGCGGTCCCAAAACGACTGGGTCCGCTCGATATCCTCTTCGCGACTGCGAGCCTTCTTCTGGCTTTGTTCCAGCTTCTTGCGGATGTCGGATATGTTCTCTAGTGCGTCGTCCCGCTCCTTGGCCAGTTCGGTCAGTGCGGACGAGGATCCACCTTCGAGCAGTTTCAGCTGGTGTTTCAGCGATCGCGTCTCCTTGGAGCTATGCGATAGGCTCGCGGTCAGATCTTCGTTTTCCGTCCGACACTCGTCCAGACTCCGTTCGAGGATATCTATCGACTTGGACTTGCTCTCCGCCTCGCGGCGCAGATTCAGGATCTCGCCTACCAACGAGGCATGCAGCGTCGGTGTGAATCTTCGGGGATCGAATGGTCTTAGCCCCTCGTCCTTGGGGACGTCTTCAATGTCCTCACTATTCCTATCAGGGGAAACACTCCGGTTTGGCCCGGAAGTAGGCGATATCGAAGATGGTGTTGATGAAGAGTCCCTCCGCTCGAACCACAGTGAAGACGTCTCCCCAGGCCCATGTCTGATAGGCGTTTCAGCCGGGGTGTAGGCGGAAGCCTCGGAGGCTTCAGAGGAACTTTGGCCGGTGCTCATGGCGATGGATCAATGATGCGCATCAGATATCTCGAACAATCCACCAAAGTAGCCGCGCAGCGGACAGTCTATAGATCCCGATATAGGTCAGAGCTGTCTTTCAAGTCCATTCATACACTCCGAGGACGCGATGGTATGAGGGAAATCGTGGTGGCAATGTGCGATGGCAGAAATCAATGCCCCCTGCTGGTCTGTGGTCCTGAATATGGCCGGCAATGCTCTCGGAGGATTATCTAGATGGATTGTGAGATGCCAGCCACTTCTGTTCATTGCGCAAGCAAGGGAAACATATTGATCAATACCCAGCATATCCGACTAACCGAGACGCAGGATTTTCAAAGGAGGTACTTACCTCATACCAATTGGCTCTATACAATAAAGTACAGGGGATCAATGGAATGGGGCACTGCAATAGAGTGCTCTGATAGAACGAGCACGGACTGAACAACAGCCCTTCGCTTCTTCTGCCGAAATCGACGTTCACAATATGAGAAAAAAGAGTAAAAGAAAGTTCGCGACAGCCCCGAGAAGATAAAATCCAAGATCGTCAAGATACACTCTGCGACGACAGCTGACGGAGGCACGGCTTAGGATCAGCGTCGCTCTGACGACAACTGACAGAGACAAGCTTGGAAAAGGGAAATTGAAAGTGTAAAAGAGCAAGCACGAGTAGTAACTCGAGGAGGGAGGGACTGAATGAGGGGAGGGGGATGGTGTTCGGGAAAGCCGTTGACGTTAAGATCACTGTAGGATCAACGAGCATACGGCCGAAATGAGGCAAGTCCTACGAGGGACAATCCCAGAGCAGCAAGTCTAGTACGTACTACGGAGTACTCTAGTCTGGGATCCTCGGTATTTTTGATGATGCACTATGTACCCGTACCTTGTGCTCATGCAATCTGCGTGAGTTGCGTTAGTTAGCTCCAGGGGTTATCACTCCATACTCGATATGGCATACGCCGTAAGTAGTTGATCCATAGCATATTCCATATTAGGGGGTTATTATAGACTTTGGTGCTGAAGTTTGGATAACACTCCACCGGAGCTGCCACGATGCCCCGAGAGTAAACCTTGGCTCTAATCCGCGCTTGATTAGACCAATGTAGACCATCATAATAGTGATTGAAATTGGAAAGGGGAAGTCAAAAAAAAATATATATATATATAAAACAAAAGACTTGTTATTCAGACTTGGACCACACCGACCGGACTGTGGCATTATTGCCTGCTAGATTGCATTCTGCATTCAAAATCGCATATAAATGAATGCATTTACTGCAATACTGCAATATGTACTGCAATAATGACTAGAACAATATAAATAGAAAGAATCATACAATCCGCACGGCTAGCCACCCCAGAAGGGGAAATTTGGAGTCTCCAAGACTATTGATCACCAGCAATCCTCTCTCAGGGTGCTGTCCTCCAGTATGGGGGAGTTCGTCCACCCGGAGGTCCACCGGAGCTGAAAGGACCACTTTGTTGCCTGTTTCAGCATCAAGTCAGACATCCGGAGGCAATAGCTGAGTCCTTCGCATGACAGTCTCCTGATACGAGCGGCAGTGGAAGAGTTCAGCCGAAGCGATCGTCGAGACAAAATTAAGCAAACTCAAATCGCCGTGTTTCAAGGCCCTCGTCGTGGACTGTGTCGTATCCGACTCGTTGGTAGGTTTTCGCTGGTGCGAGTGGGAAATTCAGCCGCGCTATCCGGCGCGTTCTGATGGTCGCGTCGCGTTCGAGTCATAAGGCTTGGATAGTTGTAGGTGCTAGTGCTCGCGGTGCAGATACGGTGTATATAGTACAATAACACTCTGCTAGAACATGCGCAATCGATAAGTGGCATACAGATGCATGCTTCCCCTCAATAATCACCAGACTCCATACAAAATAAACAGGAGAATCCTCCGACCGAAAAGGGGCGGGTCTGAATCCAACTTTTTGGTACGCGTTCTTGTCGGAGATTACGTCGGGTGATGGAGGTGCCGATGACCTCCTTTTTTGATAGGAGCTGCATTTCGTCACATCACATTATTGCACTTGTTTTGCACTCGTCTGGAGTGCATATTCGGAATGGTAGTGGTTGAGTTCATAGCCACCGACAATCCATACCGCGTACACCGTAGTCTGCACGTTATCTGGGCTATGCACTGAATGTACAGGGTTCTCTGCATAAGCATGTTCCGGCATTTAATTCAAGTAATTTCGCAACGGCAAGGGATCGATCACATCGACCTCGCTACGCTCTCGGACGCTGCTGGACGCTGTTGGAGAACATTCGGAGATTCTACGGAAAACGGAGCATTATTGAACATTCATAGACCAGTTGGAAGCACCGGATAGCACTCTTGTTAATTGCCAGCCTTGCTAGCTCATTATTATTGTCCCTGTCTGCTCGTTAGAAGCATTGCACCGAGTACAGAGTCCTCTCTGCTCCGTGCTCCATACCAAGCCGACCCACAACTCAGGGGATACGTAGCTCCCTGCTCAAACAATGATACTCCCTCCACCCGGACTGAAGGATACAAAGGAATCCTGCTCAGACTATCAATTGGCCTCGAGGCTGGTGAACACCTAGCACTAGCACCTCCCGGACCGAAACATTGACATTCCCCGAGTGGCCAGGAGATGCCGATATCAGTGAAACCAGGGTCTGCGGGTGAAGTCCGTTGTCCGTTCTGGCCATTGATATTAAATGTGCCTCGCCGTGACCGTTGAACCAGGGTGTTCCCTTTCCGTAACCCCTAACTGGCCGATAATCAATATAATCAATACGTACTAGTCGAGGCTCATTCCAACCACATGTATGACAGCGGCTAACCGTGCGCGAGCACTGGTCAGTGCTGTTGGCGTTGGCCAGAGCAGAAATTGCACCATAACGGCATTCATTTGGAGCAGACCGTGATGTGATGCAGCATGCAGTTAGTTAGTCTTGCATATGCAATTCCAACTCCATTCTCCAAATTGGTTTCATTGGACGTTGTACTTTTGTCATGACTAATCCGACGTCCTTTGTCCGGTAGTGAAGTACGGAGTACACTCCTCTACTATGTACAAGAATTACTCCACACTTGTCCAGCACAGTTGAATACAATGTCGATCACCAATCCCCCCAAAGCCCTCTTCTTCGACGTCTTCGGCACAGTCGTCGAATGGCGCTCCTGCATTACTACGGCCCTCTCCCAAGCCGCCCATCATGCCCTCTCCGATCCCCGCAAAGACCTCCCCGCTACCACGCGGGCCCGCGCCTCCGCCATGACTCCCACAGACTGGGAAACAATCGCGGAGACGTGGCGGGCGTCGTATGCCAAGTTCACTAGCACCTGGGATCCCCAGTCACGGGGCGGGTTTATCTCAGTCGATCAGCACCACTACACGGCTCTACAAGGGATACTCGAGGAGCGGGATCTAGGTGATCTCTTCACGGATGAGGAGCGGTGGGGCCTCGCATTATGTTGGCATCGACTGGAGCCAAGGGCTGATAGTGTTCGCGGGCTGGAGCTGCTGAACACTCGATTCCGGACGTGCACGTTGTCCAATGGAAACGTCGCTTTATTACAGGATCTCGTGCGGAATGGCGGGCTGCCGTTCAAGGATGTTCTCAGCGCGGAAAATTTCAGGGCGTATAAGCCTTCGCCAAAAGTGTATCTAGGTGCCGCGGAGAGATTTGGGCTGCAACCGGGTGAGTGTGCGATGGTGGCGGCGCATTTGTCGGATTTGAAAGCGGCCAAGGGGCAGGGGTTCCAGACAGTTTATGTTGAGAGGGATCAGGAGGAGGCGTTTAGTGCTGAGGAGGTGGCAAATGTGAGGGAGGAGGGTTTTGTTGATATATGGGTTGGCTTGGGGGAAGGGCTCATTGAGGCTGCTAGGCGGTTTGGCATACTGTGATATGAATAACGAATACATGATAATGCGATACTTCCAATGCTTCATTAAAACATGCGAGTGCAATGGACGTCATAGCTATCTATACAAAGGCCAGCTAGGTATATCATAACGTCAGTAATTTAATAGACCTCATCCTGTAATCGACATACATCGAATTAGATGGAAAGGAACTAATAGCCAGTTACAGAGTACTACATAAGCCGTTCAAAAGAACACTAACCGCCACTATACTCCGAGCAAATCCTTTACCATGACATCGGAGTGCAGAGTATCCATTTCCATGTGCCCGGTAGCCGGTGGAGTCTAGTAGCCGATATATCTCCCGGGGCATGTCTTCCGGGTTCCGCGAACAGCTCGACGGAGCACTGGGAATTATGGATAGGAGTAGGATGACCACTAGAAGGCTTCTGATTCTGTCGATCAGCACGCCCCCAACAGTGACAACGAAGCAGATTATCATTATTGACTTGTTACGGAGCACATATTCCGTACCAACTATTGACTACCGGGAGACGGGACGAGCCGTTGTCACGGGTGGCAGATGTTGTGCCTGGTATGAAAAGGGGCTCGAGGGAGTATGTGCTCTCGTAGGAACAGAGTACGGACGGATACTCTGTCCAAAAGGCTGTCTATCCCTGACGGGAAAGTTCCGGAAGCCAAGTGACATTCAGGAGAGAGAAGTGTGGATAGTAGGTTATAGTGGTATCCGTGCTCGCCTACGACGACGATCTTCAATAACGCCGGTTTGGGTACCAATTGGGGATAGCTGATAATTGAGTCGTTTAGTAGACCCGGATAAGAGTTTGGGAAATGACCCGGATAAGAGTTTGGGAAATGAAGTTGGGCTGCTCTTACATGGGACATGAGAGTTTGTACCCAAGACTATGTACACCGGATCGTAGAGACTACTATGTTTGCCAAGTTCTCCGTTTGGTACTAACGGTGCCGCAGATTAATATGTTTTTTTTTTTTTTTTTTTTTTTTTTTTTTTTTTTTCCTGCTATTGAATCCTTTTTGCTATTCTTCGGAAGCTCTCGAGCTTTCTTGATCATCAAATAGTCTAGACTTGTGCCCTGTGCACTCCACGTGGCTGCAGGGTCATCCTAGTCCGTGTGCAGTCCGTGGAGGGATGAGCGACTGGAGGAGGACAGGAGAGTGTACTGTGCTCTGTATGTGCCAAGATAAACATGGCTATGTATCAGTGCCTTGAAGAGTAGTACGTCGCACCTAGTTGGGTATACTTCGGACTGTATACCGTATTTACTCTGTATACCACATGCTCACTCCGAAGAACACTACCACTATGTACTTTGTATACTACCAACCGGATAGGGAGATCGATCAGATATCTAGCTGTTAGCAGCTAGAAGCTAGAAGCTAGCACTTCTACAAGTGTTCCTAGCAAAGGATACTGACAGATCGATATACCGGAAACTGGTCCGCCCGTGGTCCACAGTGGAGGATGGCAGAAGTTATTAAGAAAGATATAATAAGAGAGAAAAGAGAAGCAATCATAATAATAAGCAAGACAGCGTAATATTCTGAATCAAATAGGAGCTTCTCGTACGAGTATTTCACTCTGTTAGTATCAAAGGATCGTCTGAAGTCGTTTCTTTTTCTTCCCCTCTTTTCACACTCTTCTCTCTTTAACTCTTCCTCACTCTCTCTTTTTTCAACTTTCTTCTTCCTTTTTTATTCTCTCTCTCTCTCCCTCTCACTCACTCTCTCTCATCCTATAATACTCTGTATATTTTCATTCCTATTCGATCCTGCTGGCCAGTAACCGAGATATTCTAAATATAACTGCCGGTTCTTGATTCGTGTCTGGACGAATCCGAGGTCGCCTTTACACAGCATTCGGTACTTTGACGCTGGACATTCCCACTCGACTAGTCAATCGCAGGTCTTGATCCATCACTTCTGCAATAATAATACTATTATCTCGCCAATTGAATCTTCATATAAAGGTATGTATGGGTACTTTGGCGGCTTCTCCTGTCTGCGGGCGGGCGGTCTGTCAAACCAACCAAAACCCAACCTTCTCCAGTGGCTAATTTGGGTCGGTCCACACAACAGACGTCTCCTCTTTCCAGTCTTTCTCGATTCCTTTATATTAGTCTGAAAACATACGCGACTTCGTTCTCTCTCATTTTACGTCTTTTTTTCGCTTCCAAATCGATCCCGTTCTTTCCATTGATTGCCGGTCGCTTCGCGTCCTCTATCAGTCGCCATGGCGGGCAAAATGACGTTGTACAAATTGGTGGTCCTGGGGGATGGTGGTGTTGGAAAGACCGCATTGACAATTCAGGTAAGCTTTTCTTACAGGCACAAGGGAAAAGGGCAAGGCTAATTTAGTAGCTCTGTTTGAACCACTTTGTCGAAACATATGACCCAACTATCGAAGACTCCTACCGCAAGCAGGTCGTTATCGACCAACAATCGTGCATGTTGGAAGTGTTGGATACCGCCGGTCAGGAAGAATACACTGCGCTACGCGACCAATGGATCCGGGATGGTGAAGGCTTTGTTCTCGTCTACAGTATCACTTCGCGGGCCTCGTTTTCGCGGATACAGAAATTCTACAATCAGATCAAGATGGTCAAGGAATCCGCCAACTCCGGTTCTCCCTCTGGTGCCAGTTATCTGGCATCCCCCATCAGCGCTCCCTCCGGTCCCCCGCTGCCCGTGCCTGTGATGTTGGTGGGTAACAAGAGCGACAAGGCCGTCGAGCGCGCCGTGTCCGCTCAGGAGGGTCAAGCACTGGCCAAGGACCTGGGTTGTGAATTTGTCGAAGCGTCGGCCAAGAACTGCATCAATGTCGAAAAGGCATTCTATGATGTCGTCCGTATGCTCCGGCAGCAGCGACAGCAGCAGCAGGGCGGCGGGAAGGGCCAAGATCGTCGACCGACCGGGCTGGGGCCCATGCGCGACCGTGATTCCGGTCCGGAATATCCCAAGTCGTCCCGAACGGATCGATCGAGGCATCGCAACAAGTGCATTGTTTTGTAAGCGACAGTACGGGGGTACTACTACGCAGTAGTACGGAGTACTTGTCAAAAAAAAAAAAAAAAAAAAAACCCCCCTGAGGCTTAGATCCTCACCCGCGCCAACCGCACCAACCGAAAAACCCAAGAACCCAACTGACCAGTCAGTCAGTCACCAAACACCACGACCGCCAGCGCGGCCCGATCGACTAATGCTTGATGGACTTGTTTACTTTTTTTTTTTTTTTTTTTTTCCTATTACATTACCTGATGACAAGCAAAAGTCCGGATGGGGGAGGAGGATTTGCAGTGACATTAGCAGGCATTCGATATGATACCCTACGGCCGAGCTTTGCAGCGTAAATAGACATGATTCTTTTTTATACTGTCTCTTTCCTTTTATCGTTGTACTTGTATTTATATTCTCTGTACATACTCCGTACGATGGGCCTCCGACAGCCGCAGCCGAAGCCGATGGCCCCTGCGTCGGTCCGCAATGCGGGGAAGTTCAATATGTATCCATAGACACCTGCACTTGTACGATATGAAGCGTATGTTTGTTCAATACATGGATAGCTATAATCTTGTCGGCTGAATGGAAGTCTGGTACTGTCACTATCTGTGTTACGTACTTGCAGTGACGAAGCACTGTAGTATATTCAATAAGTGCAAGCATGAGTACTCCGTAAAAGTAAACATATGCATACTACAGGGATATATGATGCATCATTCTTGACATACATACTGCACAGATACACAATGCACTCTACAAGTAATTTATTCCCCTGGCGATGGCGATCTATTCTATCTATCACTTGGTATGCAAGATGCACCCGGAACAAACTCCCATTCTCTCACTGCACTCCCCGGAAGTCATTTGGTCTCGCTACGCTACGCCTCTTCCCTGCCGGCACGAATCCTTTAGTGTCGTCCCCAAGCGCCCCAGACCATCTCTGGCACATATACCGCGTACGAGAACTACATAGTTCCAAGCGAGGCCTCAACAAGTAACGACCTACAAAAGCGTCGATTATCCCCGGCGTCCTCTTGAGACCGTCCGCCAGTCATCGCGACAGTGCCCGCGGGCAGCGAACCGCTCGGAGGATACTCAGCTACCACGAAAGACAACAAAAAAAGGAAAGGAAAGCAAAAAGAACGAAAAGAAATTGACAAGGGTGGGATTCGAACCCACGCCCCTTGCGAGACACGGAAGCTTGCCGAAGCAGAGCTTAAGAGATCCAGTAACCTGAACCGTGCGCCTTAGACCACTCGGCCACCTTGCCATTGATGAGTAACAGGTTTCCTAGTTTGATCTGACAGACAGGACATATTTGTTTCGCTGTATGCGCCGAGTTGGGCCGGATGTGATGCGCTGTTCTGGGACATCGACTATGCGATTCGACTTCCTCATCTCGGCGATGGCAATGCGATGCGATGCGCGTGCGATGCGCATGCTTCAGTTTCAGTAAAGCATCTCTAGCCCACGTACTTCGTACCGCACTATAAGCACAATCAAAGCCCATGTTTCCAATGTATATCGGTCAATGAAACTCTCCCTGCTTCAGCGCTTTGTTCTTCCGTTCACGAGACTCATTTCTGAGGTTTTCATAAACTCAAAAAGAAGAAGACCAGGGCAGCCGACAGATATGGAAGAGCAACTAACAAAATGCAAGTTGGCAAAAAATAAAGACTTTCAGGAATCAGGAATATGAAAAACAAAACAAGTTGACAAGGGTGGGATTCGAACCCACGCCCCTTGCGAGACACGGAAGCTAACCCGAAGGAAGAGCTTAAGAGATCCAGTAACCTGAACCGTGCGCCTTAGACCACTCGGCCACCTTGCCATAATTGAATAAAAAGTTCCTTTATTTCAACCTACCAGCAAAGCTGGTCTCTGTTTCAAAGCACATGCGCCACTTTTTATATAGGCTTTTTGGGTTCATTGGTTTCGCTGATGTTGATATATCGTGTTATGCTCTTTGGTTTCTTCTGATTTTTGGGCTTTGCACGAGATATATAGCTGCTAGCGAAGCATAGGCGGATGTATATTTTTGTAACCATGGTTTCATTTCGAAGCATATACGCAGTGATGTGCGGCCTAGAGTGTTTCCCAGGAGCACTAGCACTATTTGAGCCTTCAAAAGACCGAAGGCCGGTAGCATCGCGTGAAATTTCCCCGGAAATTCATTTCGTCATCGTTATGGTTGAGGACGAGGGCCCAGAACGACGTCGTTAGGAGGTCGTATCCTGCCACTATTCCAGCCGTCGAAGACGATGCTTGCATAACGAAAGACTGAAGGTTAGTGTTGGCTGTAGTCACATAGTCGCATAGTTTATGTCTTCAGTCGTATAGAATGAGTGTTCACATGGTGACGCCAGTAAGGCCCGAACACTTCCTACGTTTCCTGCATGGCTTGCTCACTGTAGAACCTGCACAGTAACATAATTTACTCGAGATGGAACACCTGATCCGATGCCCTGGAGAAAGGTCGAAAGATATCCAGACCGATTCTTTCTTGAAGGAATTTCTCAATAATCGCTATTGGCAGGAACTGGAAAGCGCGGCACATCGGACAGTGTTGATGAGAAGCTAGCAGGCCATGAGTTCATTTGTCCAAGTCGGTCAACTTCTGAGATACGAAATGATCCGCTGCTGCCTGTACTGGAAGCTTAATATAACACATGATGAAGTAACTTAATCATCTGCAACTGGGAATTGTATTTTATCGAAGGAAAGTATTACCAGAGGCGAAAGGGAAGGAATTCTCTTTTTTTGCCTTAACATGGTTTCACAAGTTTATCTACATCAAATCACTGAGACAAAGATGCGACCCCCTTCAAACAGTTCATTATCTCTTTAGCTACATATTCAACATCAAGGTTGCTCTTGTTTATTCCCCCGATGTTCAATATCTTTTCGAAGAACGAGGCATTTGTCGAACGGCGGTGTATGGCCTGCCCGCGTTGTTTGCGTGCATTGCATTGCTCGCAGACGAGCGCAGCAAGCAAAAGTTGTTTCAAAACCCTCAAGGCTTTTTAGCCAAACCCAGTGTACCGCACCAGCCTAGCTGAGGGAGTTGGTGGACTGGGTGCGTGCGGATTATGAGGCGGATGAATGTTCCGACGGTGGAGGATACGGCGGTGGAAGTTCTAGACAGAGCGTTGGACTATCTTAAGAGTGCAGATCTTAAAGCAAATCATAGGAATATCTAACAAAAGCGAAATGGTATATTCATTAAGCGTAAACTCCATTATGAGCACGTGGATACATCCTTGGCAAGATATCCATTATAACGGAGAGACGAATCAATATGATCAGAAGAAGAGAAACAAAAAAAAAAAAAAAAAAGAAAATTAAGAAATCAGATAAAAAACCAAAATAAAACCAGACGAAAATTCAACCCAGTCAGTCACTACCACTCCATATGTACAAAAGCACTTGCACACTCAAGTCACCCAGCCACTGGAGTCAAGCCACTCAATTAAAACCCAGTTGCTAGCTTACAGCAAGAAAGCAACAAGCCCGAACACAGTCGACAATCCCAGCCCAGCACCGGCCGCAGCGCGCGAAGCACCGCCGGTGAAGATCGGCGACGAGGGCGTGGTGGCCGAGCCCGAAGCCGACGACGAAGCGCTACCCTGGCCGATAGCCTCGGCGGAGGAAGGACGAGGGATGACGGGAGTGGGCGAAGAGCCGCCAAGGACGACGGAGGAGCTGGAGGAGCCGGTCACGGCGGGAGAGGAGACGGGAGAAGAGGCGGGAGAGGACTCGGGGCTAGGGCTGGGCTTGACCTCGGGGGTGTTGACGGGGACCTGGACGGGGATGGTGGAGGAGGGGACGGGGGTCGAGCTGCTGTTCTTTTGTTAGTACACTGTATGTAGATGGGGGTGTAATTAAAGAGACGTACCACTTCTCACAGTGAGTGACGGTGGAGGTGATCAGAGGACGGCTGATGCTGTAGGAGTGGCCAGCAGAAGTGGTGTACTGGGGAAGCTGGCTCATGGTCGCAGAAGGACAGTAGGTGGTGTATTCGGTGACAGTAACGGTCTGTTCCTCCTCCTGAGGAGCGACGGCGGCAGCAGCACCGGCCGCGAGGGCAGCGACAGCAAGAGAGAAACGCATGTTGGCTGTTGTGTGTGTGTGGGATAAAGAGTGACCCTAACGAGTGACTGAATGCAAGGATGCAAAAAAAAAAAAAGAATGTACTCGGCGAACCGGGACTTAGAGAGTGAACGGGTTGGAGAGAAGAAGAGAAGAGAGGGAAAGAGTGCGAATTAAATGGGGGAAAGGCTTTTATGTTTAATTTCCCCTTAAGATTTGGCGTTGTTTTGGGTTGTTTAATTAGTCTGCGTGGTACTAGTAAGGGGGGTTATGCCCACGCACCACCCGTACCTGTCAATCATCCACAGTTCATCCGGAACAAACCGTGGATGCGAATCATTCATTATTCGGGGTACTTGTCATAGTATTCTGTGTGTGTGTGTGTGTATGAAGTATATTCACCTATGCCCGTAAAAGTATATTTTGTACAAATACAGAGACCTATAGTGTACCTACTCGAGTGCCAGTGTCCTGATCAGGGGCATACAGCACACTCGGCCAATTCAGGACATTGCCCCGGAAGAATATAAGACAAGTCTAGACTTAGCATAGTTCAATAGGTATTCCATCGGCAAGACGAACTCGACTATCGATCTGACATGCTATTTATATCCGAGAGTACGGAATTTGTATAAAGACGAGCACAGAGTACGAATACGGGGAACAGAGTAGAACAAACAAACGAGTATAATTATTCCAAATCTAGTTATTTACATGCTTCTACCCGACCCCTGACATAAATCATGCTGTACTCCGTAGAACAGAACTCATATCATGCAGACACACACAACTCCAATCAGATGTAAAAGCTGCCCCTAATGGATGGTGAATGGACGGGGGACATGTCAGCAGCGCCCAGAATAGATATAGAATCCTTCCGAGAGCTGAAAAGTCAAACCGTCATCTCTTCATCTTGGATTTAGTTGTGTGATGAAGAGGAAAAAAGAGGAAAGAAAAGAAGAAATTGCAGAATTTTCTGACCCCAAGATAAAAACCCGGACCGGATTAATAAATGTCCCATACACGTGCCATGTTTCCCCGATTCGGAATAGTGCCGTTTGCTTTCCGCGGGCAACGGAAACCCGGCCGTATCTGATGTCGCCCTCCGCCGGCATTCTTATCGCTTGCCTTTCTTTATTTCCTCTGTTTCTTTTCTACTTTCCTTTTCTCTTCTTGAATTGTTTCTCTCTATTGTGTGATTACAGTTAAACATACTGCACTATGCTCTCCCGCTGCGGTCGTCAGGCCTCGCGCGTTCTCCCGCTCGCCGGGAGCTCCAGAGCTGCTCCTATCGCTTCCCTCGCATCTATTCGCCCCGGATTTCATCTTTCCTCCCTCAGAGCCCCGGCGCAAGCCCGGAATGTCTCCTCGTCGAGTCGGGACTCCCAGCAGAGTGTGCGCATACCCCGTGGCTTCCATTCCCTTTGGTTGTAACCCAATTGAGCTAACTCGTGACGTATAGTTGCTCTCCGCATCTCTCGAAGAAGTCGACCCCGCCGTCCACGATATTATCCAGAAGGTGCGCTTCTACATTGGAATAAGGGTGGAATACATGCTGAGACCGTCTAGGAGAAAAAACGCCAAAAGCACTTCATCAACCTCATTCCCTCCGAGAACTTCACATCCCAAGCTGTTCTCGATGCGCTTGGGAGTGTGATGCAAAGTGAGTCCTCTCCTTGTATCACCGTTGGCCGCGCTGACCAGTTCAGATAAATATTCCGAGGGATACCCCGGTGCCAGATATTACGGAGGAAATGAGTGGATCGACGCGTCCGAGCGACTTTGCCAACAGCGCGCATTGGAAGCTTTCAGATTAAACCCGGAGGAATGGGGGGTCAATGTTCAACGTGAGTTGCCCCAATACTGGCTTGAAAAGTGTACTGGAACTGACGAAACAGCCCTCTCCGGCTCCCCCGCAAACCTCTATGCCCTGTCCGCTCTCCTCAATACCCATGACCGCCTGATGGGTCTTGACCTCCCTCACGGAGGTCACTTGTCGCACGGCTATCAGACCCCCACCAAGAAGATATCCTTCATCTCCAAATACTTTGAAACCATGCCCTACCGTCTTGATGAGTCCACCGGTGTCATCGACTATGACGCCCTCCAGAAGTCTGCCCAGCTTTATCGTCCCAAGGTCATCATCGCAGGTACTTCGGCCTACAGTCAACTGATCGACTACCCCCGGATGCGCGAGATTGCCGAGTCGGTGGGCGCCTACCTACTGAGCGACATGGCCCACATCTCCGGTCTGGTCGCCGCTGATGTTGTTCCTTCGCCGTTTACTCACTCCGACGTTGTTACCACCACCACCCACAAGTCCCTGCGCGGTCCCCGTGGTGCCATGATCTTCTTCCGCAAGGGTGTCCGCAGGACGGACAAGAAGGGCAACCCGGAGATGTACGATCTGGAGGGTCCCATCAACTCTTCCGTCTTCCCCGCTCACCAGGGTGGCCCCCACAACCACACTATCACCGCTCTGTCTGTTGCCCTCAAGCAGGCGCAGACCCCTGAATTCAAGGCCTACCAGGAGACCGTTCTGACCAACGCCAAGGCTCTGGCGGAGCGCCTGGGAACTTCGCTCAACGACGGTGGCCTGGGCTACAACATTGTCTCCGGCGGCACTGCCAACCACTTGGTCCTCGTTGACCTGAAGAACCGCGGTGTGGACGGTGCCCGTGTCGAGCGGGTGCTGGAACTCTGCGGCGTGGCTTCCAACAAGAACACCGTTCCCGGTGACAAATCCGCCTTGCGCCCTGGCGGTCTGCGCCTGGGCACCCCTGCCATGACCACTCGTGGCTTCCAGCCAGAGGATTTCCGCCGTGTGGCCGACATTGTCGACCGGGCGGTGATCATCACGCAGAAGTTGGACAAGGCCGCGCGGGAGAGCGCTGCCGAGAAGGGAGTCAAGAACCCGGGCACAGTCAAGGCATTCCTTGAGTACCTTGGCGAGGGCGAAGAAGTCTCGGAGATCGTTCTCCTGCGACAAGAAGTGGAAGACTGGGTGGGAACATTTAGTCTCCCATGGCAGGATGAGTGATTTCCTTTTTCTTTTTCCTTGCTTCTTTTTTATTCCCTCAATGATATGATTTGTATGTTCAACACATGTAAGGTTATGATAAGCACATGTCCATGTTACAATAAAATTTCAACGACGGTTCACAGCACTCCTTGATATGCCAGGGTCACCCCTGTGATAGGCTGGTTTGCCTTTTCCACATCGGGTAAACGGTTCCTATGTCACGTCGATTGCGGTGTGCAACACGAACACATGCGATTGATTCTAGAATTGTGAAAGTATTTCCTATTGCGGTGTTAAGTGTCGTTATGTTTGCTCTCATGCTATCAGTTCGATAGCGGTAGTGATAAAGAAGCCAGCCCTAGCTATAAATAGTCGTAGACTATCACTATTTACACAGTACAGTATAGACTACAGAGTAGACCCGTTCATTTTCATATAATCAGACGATCACCATGAAAATCGAAAAGGTACCTCCCCGCTTCATCCCCACCCCATCCCCATCGCCAGAACCCCCCACTGTACTAACGCGAACAGCTATACACATACCCCATCAAATCCCTCCGCGAAATCTCCCTCTCCTCCGCCCACCTCACACCCACAGGCTTCCAATACGACCGCCGCTTCATGCTCCTCAAGGTCACCACCAAACCAGACGGCGTGGAGGAGCTGAGACATATGAGCGTGTCAAAGTTTCCGGAGATGGCACTGTTCAGGACGGATATCCTTTTCCCGAAGGGGGATGGGGATGGGGACGAGACTAGCGAGGGGAGGATTGTTGTTACTTACTCGCCTCCGACTGACACAGCATATATGGACGGGGAGAAGAGGATGGAAGTCCCGCTACAACCGGATGTGGAAGAATTAAATCTCAAGGAGGTACAAATATCACTCCACGGAAGTCCAACGAGGGCGTATGATATGGGTCCAGAATATAACGACTGGTTCAGTGGGTGTTTCCGGTATAGGGTTGTGCTGGTATATCTAGGACCGCATTCGCGTCGTGTGTTGGGGAATTTTGCGCCGTTGAAGTGGCGGACTTCGAATAATTGGGTAAATATGGGCTTGGGTCTTGGTTTGAGATCACCGAGGGTATTAGTTGAAGGAACAGCGGTCGTGATGGTTCTATGGACGGTCCTTGTTTACGGGTATGGGTATGGATCGATATCGATTTATTTTCTCGTGGGTGCGGCTATACTACGAGTATTTCCCCTCTTCCAGAATTCTGCGCCGACAAGCTCGAAGGCAAGAAAGAAAGAACGAGAAGAAGCATACATAACCTTCGCCGACTGCGCGCCCTACCTAGCCACCTCCGTGACATCGCTAGACAACGTCTCAGCCCGACTCCAGGGTAAGACAATGGACATGACCAAGTTCCGGCCTAACATCGTTATTTCCGGTGCCGAGACCGCATTCGAAGAAGACTTCTGGACTGAACTCACCATTCCCAACCAAAGCCAAAACCAAAGAGAAAGCAGACTATTATTAACGGCAAACTGCGTCCGCTGCACGAGCATCAACGTCGACTACACAACCGGCAAAATGGGCAAAGGCGAGGAGGGAAGTGTATTGAAGAAACTAATGAAAGATAGACGGGTTGATACGGGGGCGCGGTTTAGTCCGGTTTTTGGGCGGTATGCTTTTTTACCTACTCTTACTGGGAAGGGGATGGAGGTTAGGGTTGGGGATGAGGTGGTTGTTTCGGGGAGGGCGGAGGTTAGGAGTGTTTATGGTGAGTTTTCTCTTTTCTTCTCAGGTTTGGATGGATGCTGATATTGGTGGTAGATTGGCCGGGGATGGGGAAGGGATAATGGCATTGCATTTGTTGAATTCGTGTGTTATGTCAGGCTGCAGAGCCTGTAATATAGGGTAGAGGCAGTAGCTCTCTTACCATTTTTACTTCTCTACTTGCTTCCATACATCTACCAGCTCAACGAGTCAACACCCTGGAAACAAAGCCCTGAACTAACCGTGGAGATGAATGATCCTAAAAATAAAACTAGCACTACTATTACAGCTGATGCTTATCCCGGACCCATTAGTCCAACCCACCATAAGGGCCTACGTTGGAAAAACCTTCTTTCGTATGTGTTGCCTTTTATGTTTACTATGCATGGTGCTTGCTAACCAGTTAAACAAATAGAACCATTCTAACAGTAATACTTTTTTTTTTTATCTTGATATTCACCGAATGGTGTGCCTTAAACCCGGCTCAAATCCCCGAACTCAACTCTCCATGGTTGTTTTGATTTTCATTGTTATACTCGTGGTTTATGTACTTCGACGACAGTGTACTCCGGAATATGCGCTATAGGAGATTTGCGCGGGTGGACCCAGCGTTTACACCTATCTTCTTTCATTATTTCTTATAGAAAGTTGCTCGGAACTTTTTCATCCATCGTTCAGGTGAGAGACAGGGATGTACGGATAGTTAACTCCACTTGCCAAAGATCTTCGGATACTTTGCATTTGCTGACGTTACATTATAGTTATTGCGCAGGTACTTTAGAATTAATGAACTAGTTATGATAACATAAAAACATTAAGGGGTAACCGCCAAACTAAATGGCCGGCTAAGCCCTATACCCTGCTCAAACCCCTCACCATAACAAATAACCATTCCATCTCCTCAAATCCAGACTCTACCAGATGATGAAATCGCAAGATACCAGAAATTCCTGAGTTACACTCACCAAACGGCTAGACCGGCTTACACAATCCGGGCTTTGCTCCGAAATCACCCAGACCCTCGCCACTATTCGAGCCCGAAAATCCGTATCAGATAGATCAACCACGTACTTTGGCACATCCCGGTTCCACGCAAGCCCGTTGATGTGAATGCAAGTTTATCACCAAACCCCGCGGATTGTCGTGCTTTGTTTGCGCCTGTATACCGACGATATGTTTGCCCCCCCGCGCTGAGCAAATCCCGGGCATCATGAGATTGTGCTGCGTTTTTGGACCGTGCGGAGGCCTTACACCTTGTCGCTGTGGTTTGGATGTTTGGAGATATTCGTGAACGGATGAGGGGATAGAAAAAGAGCAGAGACCGAGCCCGGGAGAGCCGAGTGGAATGATGGTCGAGTATGAACTGGGTTGAGAATGAAGGGTATATAAGGATGGAAAGGGAACGGGTTTCTGAGTCTCATCAACTCAATCACTTCAATTCCAACAACCAGAAACAATTAAGACTTCGTCTTCAAACAATCGCAATGGCTCCCGTTCTCAAGAAGTACAAGGCCGCCGCCGTCAACGCTGAACCCGGCTGGTTCAACTTGGAGGAATCCGTCCGCCGGACCATCCACTGGATCAACGAAGCCGGTGAAGCTGGCTGCAAGTTCATTGCCTTCCCTGAGCTCTGTAAGTCCCTCTTTACCAAGCAAGCCATACAACACTAACACAAACAGGGATCCCCGGATACCCCTACTGGGCCTGGAAGGTGACCTACCAAGAGAGCCTCCCCCTCCTCAAGGCCTACCGCGAGAACAGTCTTGTCTCGGACTCAGATGAAATGCGCCAGATCCGCGCCGCTGCCCGCACGAACAAGATCTTCGTCTCCCTGGGCTACTCCGAGCTGGACCTGGCCAGCCTCTACACCACGCAGGTGCTCATCTCGCCCACGGGCGAGGTGATTAACCACCGTCGCAAGATTCGCGCTACTCACGTTGAGCGCCTTGTCTTCGGAGATGGAACCGGTGACACTACCGAGTCTGTTGTGCAGACTGAGATCGGACGTGTTGGACACTTGAACTGCTGGGAGAACATGAACCCGTTCATGAAGTCGTATGCGGCTTCGCTGGGTGAGCAGGTGCATGTTGCTGCTTGGCCTTTGTATCCGGGTAAGGAGACGTTGAAGTACCCGGATCCGTTTACCAATGTTGCTGAGGCAAACTGTGATGTACGTTCCTCTCCTCTTCCTTGTGAATGAGTGATGCTGACGAAGTAGCTCGTAACTCCCGAGTATGCCATCGAAACCGGCACCTTCACCCTGGCTCCCTGGCAGACTATCACGGCCGAGGGAATCAGACTCAACACCCCTGCTGGTCGGGACTTGGAAGACCCTAACATCTACAACGGCCATGGTCGTATCTTCGGCCCTGACGGTCAGAACTTGGTTCCCCACCCCGACAAGGAATTCCAGGGTCTTCTTTACGTTGACGTATGTTCCTCCCTCTCATCTCTTCATGCCTGCCCGAGTCAATGCTAAATAATGCCGCGAACAGATCGACCTCGATGAATGCCACCTGTCCAAGTCGTTGGCCGATTTTGTAAGCTCCCCTGATCCCGAAGAGAAAGAAACAAATGAACTAACAAATCAGGGTGGTCACTACATGCGCCCCGATCTTATCCGCCTGCTTGTCGACACCAACCGCAAGGACCTGGTTGTCCGGGAGGACCGGGAGAATGGAGGTGTTGCCTACACCAAGACCATTGACCGGGTTGGATTGACGGCTCCTTTGGATGAGGAGTAAACTTACTACTCTATACAGGGCTAGTTGAATCTCCTCTCATGTATCATGTAACATAAAAAACATAGCAATACATTCTCTGCTACAAAGATACAGCTAAAATACAGATACTTACAACTATCTGTATGTACAGTTATCTGTACAGTATGTGTATATACATTTACACCACATCCTTGTTCCCCTGAATCCCCTCCTCCCTCTCCCTCTTCAACTCCGCTTGCATCCTCTTCGCATACCTAACCCCAAACCCATGCTGATAAACCTCCCTAATCTTCTCCAGCGGCATATTATGCACCTCCGCATAACAAAACACCGCAAACACCCAACCAATCGCACACATCCCCGCATAGAACCCAAACGCCCCACTCGGCGTCATCCCCTTCATCATCGACAAGAACGTCGACGAGATGATAATGTTGCATGCCCAGCATGTCACGGTGTTCAGCATCGTTCCCAGAGCTCGGACCTCGAGGGGCAGGAACTCGGTGCCGACCCAGGAGATGGGCGCGACGCCGGCGGCGTAGAAGGCGATGTAGACGATGATGAAGACGAGGAGGAGGATGGCGGCCCAGTTCATGCTGTTGCCTTCTTGGGGTTCGAGCTCAGGGGTTAGGGGGATGTAGTTGAAGGCGACGGCGACGATGACGAGGGAGATTGTCTATTTGTCAGGTTGTCAGTTGTGTCACTGGAACATAGGTAAGGCGGAATGGAAGGGGACGTACCATTCCCATAAGAGTAATCAAAAGGACAGTTCGTCGACCAAACCGGTCAATAACACCGAAATTCACAAACCCAAAGAGAAAGTTCGTCGCTCCAACCACAATCGATACAACCGTTGGTTTATTGAACCCAACAATAGAGAACAGCGTCCCCGAGTAGTACATCAGCGTATTGAACCCACCCAGCTGCGAGACCGCCATGACGACACACGCCGTCGTCAACGCACGCAGATTAGCCGGGATAGTAAACAGCTGCTTGAGCTGCCACCACAGACTCCGATCCGAGATCGAGACAGAAGACTCTTCGATCGAATGCCGGATCACCCGCACCTTGGCCTGTCGCTGCTCGTCCGACGCATTAGGGAAGATCCGGCCCAGCACACGCACTGCGTCTTCTTCGTGGCCATGTGCGATGAGTTGCCGTGGCGACTCAGGACACAAAGGAAGTAGGAAGAAGAGAAGGATTGCCGGGACGCCGCCCAGACCAACCATGTATCGCCATCCGTGGGTGACGCTGGTGAAACCTGCCCCAAGCGCATAGGCAATGAGTTGTCCAAACCCGACGCATAGGTTGTCGAACACGATCAGTCGTCCACGCGAGCGTGCTGGTGCCATCTCTCCGATGTACAGGGGGATGATCATAGCGGCACTGCCGACTCCCAGACCGACTATGAATCGACCGACGGTCATCTGAGCCACCGAGTAGGCAACAGCCTGGATGATGGAGCCGAGTAGGAACACCACGCAGCCGGCGTAGATGCCCAGTTTGCGGCCGTAACGGTCCGACGTCAGACCGGCCATGACGGCGCCGACGAGGGCACCGCCGGAGGTGATGGATGTGACGAGTTCTTGTTCATTCGAGGCGAGCGTGTGACCAAGATCTGTTCCTAGATTCACGAGGACCGCGGAGATGACACCAGTGTCATAACCTTCCCTGTCAGTTAGCGTTATGCAGCATGAATGTTATACATGATGAATTGGAGGGTAGATACCGAACAGAAATCCTCCCATAGACACCGTACACGCGATCAACCAGACACCTTTACCAGGATTTGTCTCCTCAATGGAGTCGTCCAGGGCCAGGGTCTGGCCAACACCATGTTCATCATGGATGACTTGGGCCTTGAAGTCATCGTCGTCCTCGTAGTCAAGTTTCGTCGTGCTCATGGTTTGATTGCTGTCGCTAAGTGCGGATTGTATAAACTATCTGGTTCGGTGGAGAATGGACAACATTTCTCATTTCATGCATTTATATACATTTTCAGTTCGGCTTTTGACAGTGCCGTTATCTTCAAAAAATGCGGAGTGCCCCGGATTCCCCGGATTGGCACTGTCATTGCCAAGGGCGGATATTCGTCTCGTATTTCTTGTCTGCATTTACAAGACTTACCGGATTGGGAGATATTGATGCCAGACGGGATTCTTTTCCTGTTCCGGGGGGAGTAATATTCCCCGTCCTTGCAGGTGGGATACCGCGGGTGGATGCATCTTGAACTCAGTGTGAGCTCAGTGTATATCGAAGCAAAAATCTCCGATATGAACAATTCAAGAGTTATAAGAATGCCAGCTCTGTCATGGTCGTTTGGAACTGAGCAGAACTCAAGTCCAATTCCAAATCAATTTCAAGAGTCACACTCAAATCACCCGGCACAATGTGGTCAATGTGGTTGTTGGCGCCCTACGCGTCGTTTATTCTATTCGCTTCTTTCATCTACTTCATCGTTTATCCCTTCGCTGAATATATCCGAGACCCCAAGGGTCTCCGGCGATACCCCAACATGACACCCTTCTCCGGAATGTCTGCAATTCCCTTCATGATCCTCGCCTCGAGAGGTTTCCGCTCGAAAGAACTGTCCGAAATGCACAAGAAGAACCCTGTCATCCGCACCGGGCCCAATACCCTGTCCTACGGCGATGTCCGCGCTATCAAGGATATCTACGGTCACGGAACAAAGTGCATCAAGGATCCGTCCTACATTGTCACTGCCGGGACGCACTACCACCTTGCCGATGTAATTGACAGGGCCGAGCACTCGCAGAAGAGAAAGGTGCTTTCGTCTGCGTACGCGCTGAAGAACCTTGAGACTTGGGAGTATAAGGTCACTGATAAACTTGAGCGGCTGGTGGCACACTTTGACAAGGTCTGCACGGCACCTGCTTCCGAGGCTGTGCTCAAGGGCAAGATTGCTCCGGATCCGCAGGACATTACTCTGGACTTCCGGGCGTGGACCAACTTTTTCACTCTCGACGCGATTGCCGATATTGGTCTGTCGGAGAAGCTGGGCTTCCTCGATACTGGGAGTGATGAGTGTATTGCTGAGACCAAGGATGGGAAAACATACAAGGTCAGCTTGCGGGATGCCTTGTATCCCAATGCGATTAAGCAGTCTATGATCCTGTGGAACTACGACTGGTACCCGATCCTCAACAAATTAGTCGATGTCATTCCATACTTCCGTCGGATGCAGGAGAAGGGACAGCACTGGGACAACATTGTCTGGCGCCGCTCGATCGAGCGCCTTCGCCGCTACGAGGCCGGTGAGAAGCTGGACGACTTCTTCCAGGCGACCATGGAGGACAAGAACGGCCGCCCCAACAACCTCGAATGGGGCAATGTCGTGTCCGAAGTGAACATCATGATGAACGCTGGCAGCGTCACCACCGCCGTTGCCATTGCCAACGTCATGTACCAGCTTCTCAAGAACCCGCACTGTCTGGCTAAGCTCCGCGAAGAGGTCGACTCCGTTTTGGATCCTGACGAGGTGATCGCCCCCTACGACAAGGTCAAGCATTTGCCCTACCTCCGCGCCTGTCTCGACGAATCCATGCGTATCTTCCCCCCAACCTCGCACGGTCTACCGCGCGAAACACCCGCCGAAGGCCTGGAGATCCTCGGCCAGTGGGTCCCGGGAAAGACCTCGGTCAGCATGTCGGCCTACGTGGCGCACCACGACGAACGGGCGTTCCCCAACTCCAAGCAGTACATCCCCGAGCGCTTCATGGGCGAGCAGGGCAAGGCGGTGCAGCCGTACTTTGTGGCATTCTCCGCTGGTGCGCGGTCGTGCATTGGACGTAACATCTCGTATCTGGAACAGACCAAGGCCTTGGCTTCGTTGGTACATCGGTATGACTTTGCGTTGTCGTATCCGGACTGGGAGTTAAAGCGGTTGGAGTCGATGAATTTGATTCTGGGAGATATGCCGGTGAAGATCTGGAGGAGGGAATTGGCTGCATAGATTCTGTTCTTTTCATGTATTAGCGTATTTGATGATTTAGCATTGGTTGGAAAATGAATTATGACTTTTATGACATTCTCATTCGTTCTTTCTATCCACAAACAGTAAATGAACAGTACATAATTGGTGTAATCTCTCCAGTGCACAGTGATAAGGAATCATGTCGGACTGATCAGGCAAGTCCCGCCGGTCCGATGATATAGGCCAACGTGTGCGCACCTTTAGGTAGATTAAGCACTCAATCAGCTGCGTACACGCACATACGTTCGTTAGGCAATATACCTCTTTCGTCCAGCTAGTCCTCTCCATATAGACCTCGTTAGTCCGGAATAATCGACTCCCGATTTCCCCTCTGAGCTACGATCCGAGAGACCCCGCTTCACACAGGGTTGAACAAGTCACGTGTAGCTGTACGGACATTGCATCACAGGCAATTCATCCCCAATACTACTTGATACTTCCTGTGGCTTCCACATTCTAGCCAGAGGAAGCTGCATTTACCTTTGCAGCTGATCAAGACCAGCAAAGCCGAGAGAAACATTCCCCGCTATCGGTTACCGAAAGGAGAAAGTTTCCCTGTATGTCGTGGCGGGGAATATTCCTCTTCTCGAGCCCATCTTATCCCCCGCATTTTCAGAAACGGCCGCCTGGGGGTACATAATATCCCAAACGTAGAACGGCGATCTCTGACATCACGGGGCAGACGTGGGTGGATACTATCAATAACAACGAGACGCGGAGGTTGTACGTACGGGGATGTCGAAGATGGAATTTCTTCCCTTGCTGAGCAAAAGCCCTCGCGATGTGATTGTGGTCAAGGTCGATTCCCCGAGAGGCGTTGATAGCTATGGAAGTTATAAAGATGCCTCTCGGTTCCAATTGAACCAGTTTCAACAATCAAATATCTCAATTGCCATTCACCATGACTGCACAATGGCCTCCGGACTTTGCTCAGCTCGCCCAATTGCTGAGACCGACGGGCGTGGTTGATTATGCTGCTATCGCTTTTATGTCCACCACCTACGCCGCATACCTCTCCCGCGGCCTCTTCTGGGATCAACCCGACCCTCTCAACTACCTCTATTTCCAACGTCCCCAACTCGAAAATGGCGGCTCCGCCAACATTCATCAAGAAACCCGGAACATCGCCCAGAAGCTCGAAGAAACGGGCAAGAGCATCGTTGTCTTGTGGGGCTCGCAGTCTGGGACGGCAGAAGGTTTCGCGAGTCGGTTGGCGAGAGAGATCTCGATGCGCTTTAGACAAGAGACTATGACGGCTGATCTGTCGGATTATGATCCTGCGACGATAAAGTTGATTCCCGAAGGGAAGTTGGCTATCTTTATTCTCTCGACGTATGGTGAAGGCGATCCCAGTGATAATACCACCGAGTTTTGGGAGTGGATTAGCAAGGTTCAAAAAGGCGAAGGAGATGGCGGGGTATCTCTAGAGCACTTGCGCTACATGGCCTTTGGTCTTGGGAATTCGAACTACAAGTTCTACAATCGGGTGGTCGATGTCGTTACAGGGGGGTTGGACCAGCTCGGAGCCCGTGCGGTTATGCCCGTGGCCAAGGCAAATGATGCTGAAGGCGCCACACAAGAAGACTTCATGACCTGGAAAGACGATCTATTTGCCGTCTTCAAGAATCAGCTGGGTTTCCACGAGTCGGAACCTAGATACCTGCCCATTCTCCAAGTCGACGAGGATACGTCTCTTGAGCCGATCGACCTCAACCACGGCGAGCCGGACAACAAACAAGCTTCTAAGACCAGCTCGCCCGTCCGCGTCCTGGGTATCGAGAATACCAAAGAACTCTTCCACAACTCCGACCGGCACTGTCTGCACATCGACCTCGACATCACCAGCCAGCCCGAACTGGTCTACAAGACCGGTGACCACCTTGCCGTCTGGCCATCCAACCCAGACGCCGAGGTAGACTTGCTCCTCCAAGCTTTGGGCTTCTCGTCCGAGCGCGGCCAGACACCCATCAGCATCAAGTCTCTCGACCCGGCAACTACAAAGGTCGCCATCCCAACCCCAACCACCATTGACGCCCTCTTCCGCTACTACCTCGAAATCTGCGCCCAAGTCAACCGTGACACCGTCCTGGGCCTGGCCCAATTTGCCCCTACTCCAGAGGCAAAAGCCCAACTCCTCCATCTGGGCCAGGACAAGGCCGCATACGCGGATCTGCTCAACCGGAACTACATCACCCTCGGCCGGTTACTACACTTCGTTTGCACTGAGAGCAGTAATGCCTGGTCTGGCATTCCCCTTTCCTTCCTTGTCGAGTCCTCCCGCCCTCTCCAACCACGCTACTACTCCATCTCCTCAAGTAGCGTCATCGCCCCCCGCAAACCATCCATCAGCGTCCTCGTCTCCTCATCCCCTGTCCCCGAGAACCAGAACCAGCTCGTCCACGGCATTACATCAAACTACCTCCTCGCCACTGCACAGCCGGAAACACACCCGTACGGTCTTACATACCCGACAGACGGACCGAACAACGCCCTCCGTCCCGAAGATGAGGGCAAGACGGGTAAAAAGGTGTTTGCCCATCTCCGCCGTACCCGCTTCAAGCTGCCCATTCAGGCTGCTGTGCCGCTTGTTATGATCGCGGCTGGGACGGGTCTAGCGCCGTTCCGTGCATTTGTTGCTGAGAGGCGGCAGTTGCGCTCGATCGGGAAGCCGGTTGGTGAGATGATTTTATTCTTCGGGTGTCGGAGTCCAGAAGAAGACTACATCTACCGTGAGGAATTGGAGGCGCTGGCGAGGGAGGATAAGGAACAGGGTGGTATCAGTGATTGTTTAAGGATTGTTACCGCGTTCTCGAGATACCAGCATGCTGGGGAACCGAGACGATATGTGCAGGATCGGGTCGAGGAGTACTCCGGTGATGTGGTCAAGTTGTTGGATCAAGGTGCGAACTTGTACATCTGTGGACGTGCTGGAATGGCAAGAGAAGTCGAGAAGGTGGTCAGCCAGGAGATGCAAAAAGCTAAAGGATGGGCAGACGACGAGACAAATGAGTGGACCAAGGCGATCAAAAAGAAGAACAAATGGCAAGAGGACGTTTGGGGATGAGCTCTAGTTATTGTCAGGTTAGATTCATTAGACATTTTATTTCATTTTAGCGTTATGTTCAATCCATATGTTTGTCCGAACATCTATCTATCCCATAAATCATCCCATCCTACCTATTCCACACCAACAATCCCAGCCTTACCAATAGATACCGCGACACCGAGACACCGACAAATCAATCAAATCAAATCACTGCTTCACCTGCGAAAAGATCGTCTGCCATATCTCAATCCACTGCTGCTGCTTGTATGACAGCCTCCTCTGCGGCTCACGGAACGTGCCAGCGAGGATCTCCCGGATTCTCGCAGAAAGCACCTTCAGCGCAAGCATGGATTTCCAGTCTCGCACCGCGAATCGGATCCGATTGGCGTCGATGGAAATCACCCCAGAGTACATCTAGCATAACCAGTCAGCATCTCACATGATCTACCGTGGGGCGTACAGAAGGAAAGAGGGGTTACATACCTTAAACTCCGCATCACCGCACAGCAGCGCAATGGCGAAATCATCCACAGCACTTGTCTCGTGCGCGTTATAGTTCCGATTCCGCGCCTGCATGAGATGGTAGAATGATACCCATTTCACCGATGCGTCTGCCTGTTTGTTCACCGAGGTCGGGTGCAGCGTGACCGATTGGTTGTTTGAGACGTTTCGCCATCCTTTACCCTCGCGGGCGAGGAGCTTGGGGTAGAAACTCCATGCGACGACGGAGTTTACTGCTGTGTCATTGGCGCTGTTGATGTCGTACTCTTCGGGGATGGTGAAGAATTGACGGTTGCGGCCGCCGGATCGGGCTCTGTTGCCCGTTAGTTTTGGTCTTGGAAATCGGGAATCGGGTATTGAATAGTGACCGACCTGTTCAGAGAGGTCTTTTGCGAGGCGTCCAGTTGCAAAAGTCCTGCATCGGCTATGGATACCACGAGTTGCATCTTGACATCTTCGATGTTCAGCAGCGTCTGTGAACTGAGAAAGTTTTTCCGACAGAATGCATATTCGTTGGATCCAGGCGTGCTCCTTGCTCGTTTCCAGGCGCAATACGCATTGTAAACGGTCAATAGGTCCGAGTCGCCTGTGGGGAAACATTAGCCAGCAACTCAGGCGGCAAATCAAAGGACAAAAAATTACCCATTCTGAACGAGAACCTCGCCACCTCTTTCTGCGAATTAGAACCCATCGTGCTAACGAATGGGGACTTCGATGATAGAATGGCCGCAATGCTAATGGCCGCGTCTAGACACTTAAAGAATGCCCCGTGGATGATCAGCTTTCCGAGAAACACGTCCAATGGCAACTTGGCAAGCTGCGTTCCCAGCGGGGTGAGATTCTCCGTGTTGGTAAGGGCCTTGACTTCCTTGAGGGAGTCGATTGCCCGCCGTATATTCTTCGGAGATGGCGGGTCGACGGCCTCCAGGAGAGTCGGTTCCACCTCGCCGAGTTTACAGATCTTCACCCGTAGGACGAGATCCTGTAGCGAAAGACGGAGCATCTCGGGTGTTTGTTGTTCGGAGAGCTACGGGTTGTCAGCTGGACAAAATCTAAGCCAGTAGGAAACACAACGTACCAATCTGTCATGGCGGTACTTGGTAACGAGATGGAAACAGATTCCGTTTTGGACACGACCAGCTCGTCCTCGTCGCTGTTTGGCGTTGGCCCGCGAGATAAATGACTCGATCAATCTCGACAGTTGCCGTCGTTCATCAAACCTGGCCAGTCAGTAACGTTCATGCTTACAGCCAGGCGAAATTCCTACCGCATAGTCTTCTCTCTGCCCGTATCAATCACAGCAGTGATATCCGGAATTGTAATACCTAGGGAAGTTAGCATTAAGTCCCCATAAACAACACAAGCAAGCATGCAAGCCTACCAGTTTCCGCAATATTGGTAGCAATAACGATCTTCCTCATCCCTGCCGGAGGCACATTGAACGCCTTTTCTTGATCTTCACTGGCAATAGAAGAGTGAAGCGCGTGAACGATCCAGCCCTGTTGGAATGTTGGCTCTGAGAGAATCTCGTCGTTTAAGCGACGAATTTCTGCCATACCAGGCATGAAAATCAAGATCGCTTTGCTGTACTGCGACATCTCGGGCGCCGAGGCGATCTTCATGACCAGCCTCTTGATCAACTGGTAATCAAGACGGTATTCATCAATGTTCTGGATCGTTTCTCTCGTTTGCTTCGAATAAGCGTCAAGGGTTGACTGAACACCGCTAGCAGCGTCACCTTGCGAGCTCTCAGCCATCTCCTCTGTGTCTTCGTCGACCACAGCGTTCGATTCGTTCTCAGTCAACCGGTAGTTTGTCAGCTCGATGGCATCTTCGAGATGCTTCATCTCCACGGGGAAGGTTCGTCCAGGGATGTTCATAACAGGGACACCACCGAGATAGTTCGAGAAACGTTGTGCCTCGAGAGTGGCCGACATGAGGATGAGCTTCAAGTCGGGTCTTCTCTGCATCAATCGTCGAATAACGATAAGGAGGAAGTCGCTGTCGATCGTACGTTCGTGCACTTCATCAATCACAACGTGCGAGATGTCTTGGAAGTCATCCGGCCGTTCCAACATTCGTACCACAACACCGGTAGTCCTGTCAAGTGTGAGCCCAAGTACCTTATCTCAAAGGAAAAGAACATACGCATATACTAGTCTCGTCGATTGGCTGACCTTGCTCTCCAACCTGACAGCAAAACCAATCAGAGACCGGGATGTCCCGACATCATTCTTGCTTTCTCCCAGTTCTTCACTGACACGCCGTGCCAGCGAGATAGCAGAGATCCTCCGAGGCTCCGTCACATAGATCTTCGCAGGGCGGCCCTGTTGCATCTCATGCTCCAGAATAAACGACGGAATCTGGGTACTCTTCCCGCTACCAGTTTCACTGCAAATGATGAGGGCGCGGTGAGTGTCCAGCGTGGTGAGAATTTCCTCCTTGAAATCCCAAATAGGGAGACTCATTCGGCCCTGCATCATGTAATGGAAGGAAGAAGTGGAGGCTTTTTCCAACCATGCCCGTATTATTTTATCGTTGGGGCCTAGGTTCTCTCTGGGCACCGTCTTCACCGGTGTTTCGGGCTTGCTAGCAGTACCGTTTCTCCTGCGGAAGTTATCAGATAACACGACATCATCTTCGAAGCCACCGTTATTCTCCTGCACAAGCTGTTTCAACCAAGTGACGGTCTTCTTGTCGATTTCGTCCTCCTGTGTCTTTTTGACAGTCGCAAGCTCGGTCCAAAGGTCCCTCCAGACCGCTGGGAGCCGCATGTAGGCTTTGCCCTCCTTGGAGTTCTGTGGGAACAGGATGAAGAGAGCTAGCGTCGAGACATATGCTTCTGCTTGTTGCTGAGTTGGCGTTGCGATGTTGTCCATAGAAACGTACGTAGCGTATGCGTTCGATTTGTGCGTCACCATGTCGAGCGACAGTTCGAACGGGACTTCCTGCGGTTTCGACCATCGCACTTCAATTGCCTTTCTGTTCTGGTACGATGAAGCGGAAAAGTCCTTGAAAATGATCTTGCACCCGGTGTCCCTACAACTCATCAGCTTCATGGAGAAAGCACCAGTAGCAATATAGGTAGGCATACCTGGACTTGCACGTTTCCTCTAATACCCGTCGAGGACTGAGACCGGAAAACTTGCCGAAATCACGGACATACATCGTAGCTTTACTCAGCTCCTCAAGGATAATGCCCGACTCCAACTCTGGTTCTTCGACCCCAAACATGTCTCCAAGCAGGTCTGCATTCTCGTTGTCACCAGCAGCGGCCAGCACATCACTCTCCAGCTCCGGCTCCGGCTTCGTCTCCTCTGGTTGCTCTTGATCCTCAGCAGGAGGTTTTTCTTCCTCGCGCTGAGTACGCCGGAAAAACGATGCCTCTTTCCTAAGATCCTCGAGCCTTTCTCTCCATTTGTACTCCGCCTCTTCACGGTCGAAAAGCACGTCCTTTTCAATGCCGGAGATCTTGCGCTGAATCTTTGCTGCTTGCGGATCGTTAGAGCCACTGTCCGTATTATCCCGACCAGATTTCTTTCCCTTTTTCGGCTTGTCGTAGAGGTCTGGACAGAGGCTGTACAGCTTGATCTGCAAATCCAAGTACTTAGGGACCAAGGTATCCGGTTCAAGCGAGCTATCGGAGTCATAGTCCAGGGCTGGGGGTGTTGGAGCTTTGGACTCGGGCTTAGAAGGTTTAGTCCATTTGCTTTCACCTTGCGCGGGGCCGGACTTTTGCTGGTCGCCCTCTAATAAGAGAAAACGGGAATTAGCTTTTCAATTACTAAAAGCACGACGAGCTTAGATTTACCAGTTATCCAGGATATCGTTTTATCTGAATATTTGGGCAGCTGTGCACCCGTCCTAGCATAAGATGGGAGCTCAGCGGGATCACAGTGCAGAGCAAACCAGTCTAGTATCTCGTCCATATTCCACAAAGCATCCCTATTAGTAGGAACAGTATTGCCTGCAAAATAGACCAAAAGATGCTTCAAAGCTTCATCTACCCTTGTCTCGGGAAATCCAAGTTTAATCAAGGTCTCTTTCAGGGTCCATAGCTTCATATATAGATCCTCTTCCGAGAATGTCCGTTTCGCGCCTGGCTGTGGACTGAGCTCACATTCCTCCGTCTCAACGAGACCCAGGATCCGGTTCAACACATCCGCCGGCAACCATTCGAAAACATTCAGCGAGCCGGACGCCTGCTGTCGCATGACCCGTCGCTCCGTCTCCAGCTTCGTCACATGCCGAGCAGCATCGCTCCTACACTTCGACGCGTGTTTTTCGACCAGTAGTTGAAGTTCCGCGTCCTCCAGGTGCTTCTCCAACTGCTCCGGTGTATACTGGTGCAGCGACTGCGTGTCTTTTGTCTGTGTTTCGGAGGGCTGGGCTCTCTCTGCAGGTGTGGGCTGATCTGTTTCCGGTGGTGCGGAGGTTGTCTTGGACTCTGCTGGAGTTGTTGTTGCTGCGGTTGGCGGGGTGGACGTAGTCGATTCCGGCTTGGGCTTGGAGGGGATGGACGTAGTAGCGAAACCTCGAGCTGGGTTGGCCGCGGGCTTCTTCTTTTTCTTGTTGTTCGGGGGCATTGTGCTTGTTCCTGGTTAGACGGTAGCTAGTATGTACCTGTAGTTAGTGAGAGAGGGGCAGAAACGCGATGAATTGAGATTGAAGGGGGAAATTCAGTGACCAAAGAAACTGAATAAATTCCCCCAAGTAGAAAAGAAGTTGAAAAGAAGAAGAAACAAGAAGAATCCAACGGTTCTTCTGTATGGGCGCAAGTGGGCGCGGTTGACGTCTGTCTCTGTGACTCTCCCCACAAATAGAAAAAAAGAAAACTTTTATGACAACATCAACGGCAGAGCAGCCAAAACTACTACTGAGTGCTCACGGCGACATGCCCTCTTGAGGAAATATGGACGACTTCCCATGGCAAGAGGTGAAATCTGGAGACCTGGAGAGCCTACAGCTTCTGATCTCTTCGAGTTCGACTGCTCGCAGAGTTCGTGCTCTCCAGGACCTTCGCGATAGAGCCGGTTTGGACCCCTCCGCCGCAATGAGAAAAGCCACTGAATTGCTAATCACCTGACTGGTGCTATTGTATAGGAACTGAATTACCGCAAGAATCTCATCAAGATTTATTAGAACTGCTTTTTAGAACATATCCCTCCTATGTCGATCGTCCATCGCGTTACGCCGTCCAAGAATGCCTCCGTTCGCTTCTCAAGGCCCAACCGCCGACCGATAGCACCAACGATGTGAAGTATCTTATTCAGAGACTGAAGACGGAGACTTCCAAGCCCGGGTTGGCAGCTACGTCTGCGTTTGTGCTGGTGGAATGGTGTTCGGTGTTGCTACAGCATTTGACGGAGTCGGAGACGCCGCTGGAGCCCGTGTTGGACATCATCGCCGCGGATGCGAAGGCGCTGGAAATCTGTTTCTCTGCGAATCCTAAACCAAGTGTTGTGCAATCGGCACTCAGAGTTACAAGACGTGCTTTGCGTGCGGTGTTCAGATCGACCCGCGGCGACGATGCCGTCCGTCAGTCTGTCAGCCGGTTGACCAGTGACTCGACCACGGGACAGAAAAATGCGCCTTTCCTGGGTGTGATTTCCGGAGTCAGCGCTCGTCTTCCAGCCCAGAAGCCAGTCTTGGAGGAGCAGAAGAAGGCTATCATTGCATTCTACGCCAAGGAGTTGATTGGATCCCGGTCAGCGGTCCCCTCCCATATCGCCAATGGCCTGTCGGATTTCTTTGCGTCGTTCGTGACTTACGAGGATGTTGAGACGGAGCTGGTGCCACCATTCGAGAAGGCGATTCTGAGAGCTCCGGAAGTGTCTCTCGGGGGTCTGATCCCGGCCCTCTGTGCTGCGTTGCCAGAGCAGATCGATCTGTCAGACCTTCTGTTGTCCCGTCTCTTGAAGCATCTCGTTTCGAGCTTGAAGTCGAACAATCCCGCGATCAGACAGGGTGCTGTGAGCTCTTTCGAGTCGTTTCTCGCCAAATCCAAGGCCGAGGGTTCGCTTCTAAAGATCGCAAGCGAGGTCGTCAGTCCTCTAAAGACCCAGAAGATCACCAACCCGGATCATCGTGCCGTGTTTGCTCAATCACTTGCTGCTATGGTACCTTCCGTTGCTCTTTCAACCGAAGTGGTCCAAGGCCTTGTTCCCGTTTTCACCCGCGAGTCCAACGAGCCTGCTCTGGAACAAGAAGTCAAAGCGTTTAGCAAACACCTTGCTTTCCTGGTCAAGTCCGCAGTCAAGGTCAGTGACGACGCGATCAACACCATCGTGAAGGGATCTTCAGATAAGCGCGTTCCTTTCCGGAAGCTCTGGCAGCTCAATGTTGGAGATGTGCTTTGGGAGACCGATTCGACGACCCTGGCCAGTTCCGAGGTCGAGCCACTCGTTTCCAAGTTCATCGCTAAAATGAAAGACATGTTCAATGAGGTGGTTTCGAACCCCGTGCCGTCCGCCCAGAACGGCGCCCTGTCAACCGCCTACGTTTACCTGGCGCTCTTGGAGCGCGCAGGTTCTGACAGTGAGACTTTGGAGACGACAGTGGCTCAGTCGATAGTTCTGAACCCCAAACCGTCGTTCCTCCTTAACCCCAGGGCCTACTCGAAACTGGCTTCCCAAGCTGAAATGCAATGGGCCGTGCGAGCACTTGCCGCCGTTGCTTCTGGCCCCAAGTTCGAAGCCGCAGAGCACGCCGCCAAGGTCGCATGGGCCGAAGCCTTCATTTATGCAATCACAGCACCTGGACTCCACACCAACTTCAGAGAACAGTCTGCCCGTGCGTTGTCGGATGTCTACCTTAAGAAACCGGGAACAACTGGCCGCATCATCATCGACGGTCTTTGGGCTTGGATTCTGTCTTCCAGAACTACAGAGAAGGAATCTGCTCCAGTTTCTGCAGGACCAGGAAACGAGGGTCTTTTGCACCTTGTGACTCGAGCTATCTGCCCACCAGTAACCAGTCTCGAAGAAGGCCATGCCTCTGAAATGAGAACTCAGCTTGTTGAGCTCCTCGTTCTATGTCGCCCTGAGATGATTCCTAAAGCTGCTTGGATTGCTTTGTGCTTGAGGACTGGCACAGACCCTGGCGATCTTGTTCGTGAGCTTCCTGACGAGTTCATGAAGCAATTGAGTCGCGTGCATGATGTAAGTCACACATTCCTCGCTCTATATCATTAGCCATAAAGGAAGTTACTGATTAGTCCCAGGACCCTGTGCAATCTAAGGTGCCCCAAATCGATGCGGCAATCTGGAGCGCAGCAGCAGACTTGGCATTCGTTGCGCCCGACACAATGATTCCTCAACTCGTCGACCAGATTAAGGATGATCTCAGCGCCGAGCGCCTGTCCAAATTCACGCCGACAGACGCTGCCATCGCCCGCACTCCGGAAGGAACAATGTTTGTCGATATCCTAAGTACCAAGTCAAGGCAGCTTGACAAGAACACCAAGGATTACGACACTCTGAAATGGGAGGAAGAGCTCCGAGCGCAACTTGCCGAGAGGAAGGGCCAGACTCAAAAGAAACTCAAGCCTGAAGAACAGGCTAAAGTTAAGGCCCAGCTCGCCCAGGAGGCCAAGATTCGCGAAGAGGTGCTTTACGAGGTTAAGAGAATTGAGAGAGGTGCAGGGATCATCCAGGGTCTCGCAACGGGCCCTGCTACTGACGTAGAAGGCTGGATCAACCCTGCCGTGAGCTCCCTGCTTGCTCTCATGGAGGTTAACGCAGGCATGTTCGTCGGTGATGTCGTGTCGAAGGCTTACGTTTCGTGCGCTGACAAACTGTCGACTCGTCTGGCGACTCTCCGGCAATTTGTTGGTGTGGCCACGCTGCGGGCCATCGGGAGAACTTATCTTCCTCTTGAGATGGAAGTGGAGCCTCTTGGTGGTAAGTGTTGTATTTGTACTATGCGGAATGTTGATGGTTGCTGACTGTCTCTACCAGAGCTCATTGCTAGGATCCTGTACCGTGTGCGGTTTGCGTCGGAGCAACGCCCTCTTGAGGAGGCGTCTTTGGCCTATCTTCTTCCTTTGGTTTTCCTGATCCTTAACCGGAACGGTATCGAAGAGAAGGAGGAGGGTGAAGGAGAACAGGTTCTGCTCGCTCTTGAAATCTTGTCTTTCCACTCAAGCTCATGTAAGGTTTATTGTCACCACTTGCCGTTGGCAAGCAAAGGCTAATATGTGAAAAGTCTCCGACAACCGCCTTCCTCGTGTCGAGGTCCTGAAACACCTCATCTCGGCAATGCAGAGATACTCCCAGCATTACAAGCTGATCAAGGACACATTGTTCGACCTTTGCCGAAGCATCTCGGCAAATATCGGACAGGAGGAACTGCAAGCTCTTTTGGAGGGCACCATTGTCTCGGATGTTTCTGTCAGAACATCCGTTCTGCAGGCTATCAATGCCGAAATTGATTTGACGGATCTTGACTTCTCTGAGCACATTTGGCTTGCCTGCCACGATCATGTTGAGGAGAATGTCGACATTGCGGAAGCGATCTGGGAAGAGAACGCCCTGGAGATCGACGACTCTTCATACGGCAAAATCATTTCGTACCTGGCTTCCAAGGACTCGCAGCTCCGTGGAGCGGCTGCTCGCGGATTGGCACATGCGGTCGAACTCGACCGGTCCAAGTTTGCCGGTATCCTGTCAGAGCTACAGGCCAAGTATGAAGACGAAACTAGGCCAAAGGACCCCGAAAAGGACAAGTATGGAATGCCGAAGAAGATGGACACGACAGACATCTGGGAGTTCCGAAGCGGTATTGCCCTTGCCTTTGGTGCCATGACAAACGGTTTCGAGGGCGAGCAGATCGTGTCGTTCTTGCGCTTCCTCATCGAAAGAGGGCCGCTCATCGACAGGAGCTCTACCGTACGTGCTCAAATGGCCGAAAGTGGTAGATCTGTCATTGCTTCGCGTGGTCAGCAAAAGGTCGAGGAGCTTATGCAGCTCTTGGAAACTACGCTCGAAACATCGGACAAGGCAACCCAGCAATCTGATTTACTCAACGAGGCAGTGGTTGTCCTCTATGGATCTCTGGCCCGCCATCTCAAGGCCGACGACCCACGTCTGCAGACCGTCCTCAAGAAGCTTCTTGCCACCCTACCTACTCCTGCCGAAAGTGTGCAATCCGCAGTCGCCGGCTGCCTGCCACCTTTGATCAGACTGTCTGCCTCTAAGAGCTCCAGTTACGTCCAGGAAATGCTTGACCAGCTTCTTCAAACGAAGAACTATGCTACCCAGCGTGGTGCGGCGTACGGTCTGGCTGCTATCGTCAGTGGAAGGGGTGTCTCGACGCTGCGCGAATTCCAGATCATGAGCCACCTCAAGGAAGCAACCGAGAATAAGAAAGAGCCGCACCAGAGACAGGGTGCAGTCTTGGCTTATGAGCTTTTTGCCACGATTCTTGGACGCACCTTTGAGCCATATGTTATCCAGATCGTTCCTCAGCTTCTCGCCCTCTTCGGTGATATGAGCATTGATGTCCGTGAAGCCTGTCTTGACGCTGCAAAGGCATGCTTCGCCAACCTCAGCTCTTATGGTGTGAAGAAGATTCTTCCCACTCTGCTTGATGGTCTCGATGATACGCAATGGCGTAGTCAGAAGGGAGCTTGTGAGTTGCTTGGTGCCATGGCCTACCTCGATCCCCAGCAACTTGCAACGAGCTTGCCTGAGATCATTCCTCCTCTCACGATTGTGCTCAACGATACCCACAAGGAAGTGCGCAATGCT